AAGATGGAAGAAAGTACCAGATTTACTAATATGAGATTTTGTAATGTCATGTTAATACAACATGCGTGCATTGGGGTCAAGTCTGTAGAGGTTTGATTACGCACATGCGGTTATCTGTTTTCAATTACTGGCAATATGCCGTCAATGTCAGCACGTTGGCTATCAACTTGGTGGGCATCTGATTATCAAACGCCTAGACCATCAGATTCTCATGCAGTATCGTGAACTTTGATCAACGCATGAGGCATTACGTTCCACATGTACAGGGAATTGTCCTGATTTAGTGTGTGCGATATAGCACGAGTTACCTCACAATAGCGGCAATCATCGATGATTGCGCGGATCATACTAAGCCGGATCATACTAAGATATCTTAGTGTGATCCGCGCTGAAAACGCAGGACATCGTGCAAATATCCATCACTATTTTGCCGCGCAGCTCCACCAAAACCATGACCACAGTACAAGAGCGCATTGGTGTGAAAAGCGAGCAGTGCCATGTCTCACTTATCGGGCACACGGCATGTGGCTACCTGCTTCTCTTCCTGTCTCTATGCGATGCAATGCACTGAGGCATCCACCAGGCCAGCTGGTCGACTCTTCCACCCGTTATCGAACTTGCGATAGTAGAAACTTGATTCATGTTCAAAGGATAAGCAAAAAAGCTGCAAGCAACACAGCGCAAGCTCACCTCATCTATGGCCTCTTCCCTGTCCACTCGCTTCATACCTTCCAGACAGACTTGCTTCACAGCAAAAGTTTTGCCATCCGCTGAAGAACAAAGACTGTCAGAACCTCGTGATTCATTGTATCCAATAGTTCCACTGATGCCGTGGGGAGCATCAGCCCCGCCGTTTGCGCTATATAGCACAACTCTTGACCGTGAAATTCACAACTCGCCGTGTGCTTCCAATCCGGCGACCATCGCGGGACCAGCCAATGTACTTCCCAACGATTCAAAAAGGTTTCAATGACTCAAAAATGACGTGGCATTGTGAAAAAATGTGCGTCAGAAGAAAGCAACTCACGAATCATTTGAAAGCCAGGCAGCCGAGCCTTGCCAATCAAGATATGTGCCATGGTAAGCTTCCAGTCTGGTGGATGCCATGCTCACGTAGTAGCTGTTCTGACCGGCATTTTCTCACCTTTCCTAATAGCCTTGTAAACTGTCCCAAATGACCCTTTGGAAATGATGGATTTGAGATCGAAATCGCTCTGTTAAATTCACATATTTGATCCTTTCAGTGGCGAAGCATTGGTACATATAAACAGGCAAATTGAACTGCAAAGTGAGTAGTCGACAGAAGTATGTGAGGCCTACCCTGTTTGCAGAAACGGCCAGAAGTGGCGCGTTGGAGGGCTCTTTCCATATTTTGCCATCAATTAGTGAAACACAATCAGCTTCCTAACAAGGACAGGTGCGCACCCGCATTCGAAGCATCCGTTGCGCGCGTGACAGTGCTGATATACACAACCTTGAAAGGGAAGCTCCAGTCAAATGCGTTGTGCACAACGTGGAATTCGATTGTGTGAACACCAGGGCTCAATTCTGTCCCGTAATCTGCGCACACGTGGCGGCAATGTGGGGCCGCATGCAGCTAAATTTCCACGACGTGCGCAGCGGGGACCATCACACACAACTTCAGTGTGTCCAGTGGGCTCAATAAGACGAATAGCGACTGATGGTCAATGAGTTGCCGCTGGGCGCATCGGAATTTCGGAAACGTTATCAGAAAGCTGCAATTGGCCTTCGGGCCAGCGGTTTACAGTCCAACGCAAAACACGTCCGAATTTCTGCATTCCCGGCCGGCAACGCCGTGCATTACTCTCATGTTCTCAGTCGGCTCCCTGGCTCACGCTCTGTTCCAGCCCCAAGCGGCGAATGCCGCGAGGCGCTGCAAGCAAATAGCTTGGCATTCACTGCCCGCGATGGCAATGAACACCAAAGTGACGCTCATTTGCTGCCGCCCAGCGGCGACCAGGTCCGCTGCTCTAGAGTGGGCAGTGTCCCCATGCAGCCGCACATAGCGCACTTGCGCACCAGCGTGGCGAAACCTCCGCGCTTCTTCATCTTTTTGCGGTCCAACTGCTTGAGGTCCTCTTTTTTCCTCCAAGTGCCCCGCGAGTTTCACAGATCTGGGTCAGGTCGACGACTGGCAGTGCCAACGGCTGGCAGGGCAGATTATTGCACCTGGCTGCTCGATGGCCGTCGGACGGACAGGCGACTTCCAAGGCTGGTGGGCTGCCAGCGGCGAGATTTTCCTTTCGTCGATGGCCGCACGATAACTCCCTCGTGTATTTACGGGAACGGTGGCGGAAGGTGCTTAATGTAGTATACTCAACCCTTCCAAATCAGACGATTTATCGTTGCGCTTTTTGTTCCCCATGTTTTTTCAGAACTTTACCCTTTTCTACGTTGCTCCGCAAAAACTTTATTAAAAGAGCGTTGTTCAGTTCATTGTTTTCTCTCCCCAAGACGCCAAGGGTTCCGCCACTACGCACAAGACTTGAATATGCTACGGTAAATGACGTTAGCAGGAGAGCGCTGCAGAGCGCTCGTCAGAGGCAAAAAATGCTACCTTGCTACGCGGCTGGCAGAAAAGAATTTGGGCGACAGTAAACAACTTCATTTCAACCATAGTTAGCGCGATGCATGACCCGCAAAATATCCCACATTGAAAGTTGTGTTAGTGTCAGATACTCAGCGTGGTTTGCTGCCTCGAATGGTTTGTGGCCTGTGTTTGCAATTATTCACTGTGTCGCACAATGGTGTGCACCAGTCCAGTGTTGTGAAGCACGTCCTGGACAAGAGACGAAGTATGTTGGCATAAACTATGAACACCACCAATACACGCATGTTTAACATGTGCTTTCTTTCTTGAGCAAGAGCTTTTGTGCAAGACCCGCGTCGGTCCCCCCACACGTTGCTGATAAAGCGTTAGTGCATTTCCAACATGTTTGAGTGCCTTGTAGACATAATTTGCATGCGTACAATGCGCTTCAGCACGTGTTTCCTAGCCCTCCTCCCCCGTGTGCACCACCAGTGCCCGATTTCTAGCAACTTAGCAGCACACTGAATCACCTATACTGCAGCGGTTAGCGCAGTATAAGTGAATCGAGGCACCGGCAAACTTGCGCGAATTCAAGAAAGTTTCCTATCGGCTGGTCTGTTCTTTAAACGGAGTGAGCGCCGCGATGCAGGGTACGTGCCCGGCGCTTCATTGGATGCCGGTTTGACTGATGATCTATTTCCGGATTTGGAACAGTGTGATTGCTCGAAAAGCAATAATTTCTAGCCGTGGCCATCCTGGTTGGGCGCCCGCGGTGTCAGACTGCCATCATTATGCTGGGCAAAATGAGCCAAGAGCGACGGGAAAAGATTATCTGCTTTTCAATGCGCTTTGTTATAGCTGCAGTTGCTGGTGAATGCTGTGTGCGATGGGGTCAGTTCAAGGGAGGAAACCAGAGCACGAGTGGGCAGTTTCTATAGAGTTTCAAATTAAATCTTCAGCCACAAATGCCTGAAAAGGCCTCGGCGTGGCGTTTTGAGAGTGTTCTGGCTGCTTGGACTGTGATGAACGAGTCACAGAAATTGGCCATTTTGCGAAGTTAACAATTTAGCTGTATTTGTTGTCGCATGAAAAACAACTGCCTATGACATACTCAAAAATGTATGCACAGAGGTGGATTGGCAGTGCTACCACTCACAAATTTGGGTCCCAGAATGATTCCAATCATCACAACGTGGGCTGCCTAGACCGTGGCAAACGAAGGCCTAAATGGCGCCCCGTCAGCCTCCTCCAAGCCTACACGGGAGAATGTCGCATTCAACTAATGAAAGAACAAATCTGTACAAAGCGTCAAAGATTTGCTGAGGGTGGTGCATGAGGATTGCCAGGTACCACCATGAATACGCCGCACAGTCACCGTACCGACTTGCCTAGCTTTGATTCTCTTGAATTTCCCTGTCAGGGGAAGGAGGAATCATTGGCTGATTGCTTGGGTTTGCGATGCATAAATAATGGACACTGAATTTCTCGGGCAGAACAAGAAGTTGTTGGCGACATCCCTGCCTTGGTAGCGGTACAGCCTGAACTGAGGGCAACTGAATGAGAATTTACAAAGAGGTATTTATTTGATTTAAAAAGAAGTGGTTGGGGCACTGTGGTCCATGGATGATAGATCATTCACTGTGCTGTTTTGAGAAGGGCGATGCCCTCCACATTCCCACATGCACTGCTTTCGGCAAATCCGGAACTGCGCGGCCAAGTGGCACCTCAGGATTGAGCACGACCTTGGGCCCCAGTGCATGTTTCCTTGCTGTTCGTGTTGCTTGTGTTGTGGTTTTACCATCTTGCACTGGGCGACAACAAATCAGATAACAGGAATGAGTTTCACTCACACCTACTGAGGAGGGGAGCTGCCCTCAGTGTGACCTGTTTCAGTTGAACTGTAGTGAATCTTCCACACGGGATTGGGATGCTGGATAGCGATCCGACCACCATCACGTCCAAATCTTTTGGAGTTGTTGGGGGCACGGGTGGCTTTGCGTTCAGACTTCGCTGCCACCTGGCCTTTGGAGCTGTTGTAGATGGTGGCAAGTTTGGAAAGGTGCATACTACGGCCACCTGACCTATTGTTGTGCTGCGGATGGTAAGGAGGATGTCGAAGCGGGTATCCAACCCGGTGCCACTGGGTGGGATGTCCCACCGCTCTACCAAACCGCCTGGCAAGGGGCAAGGAAGAGGGCAGCCCAACCCGGTATGTGCCATTCCAACAAACACCTTTGGGGATGCTGCAGAGTGGTGGCAAGTTTGTCAAGGGTGTTTTCTTCACTAGTCGGACACTGTGAACATCTTGGCTAGGAAAAGGTCACACTGCGCCGTCCGAACCCCGCGGCCCCTTGGTCCGCGTGACTGAGATTGTGGCAGGAACCCTGGGGCGGTCAGCCAGGGGGCGGGCCTCTGACCGCGGCCCACGGCGCGGGCGACGGTGCGCGGCATGGCCCTGTGGCGCGGCTCACGCCTCGCCGCCAGACTCCTCCGCAGCCGCTGCGCGCCGCCATCCGCATCCACCGACAGCGCCGCCTGGGTGCCCCTCCTCCCCCAAGCGGCGATCCCGGCGCTCGGCGCCGACCACGTGGTGCGATGGCCGCGCTGCTGGGCGGGGATCAGAGCCGCCTGTCAGAGCGCCGCGGCGCATCCACGCGATGCGGATGACAACAGGACGGCGGCGGCGTCACTGCTGCAGTCGATCAACGCGTTCAACTTGCGGGAGGCGCTGGAGAGGGACGCCGGCCAGCGGGTGCACATGACACACGATGAGCTGATCGAGAAGTGCCTGGAGACGCGGGCGGCGATCTCCAGGGAGGAGGCGGAGCGGCTGTGCGAGGCGCTGTGCACCGCAGGGGTGGTCATGCGGTACAAGGACGTCGTATTCCTGAGGCCCGGGGACGTTGCCGAGATGATCCTCTGCGCCCTGCCGGAGACACGAACGCAGATCCAGGGCAACCTGGACGCGCTGAGGGAGAAGATCGCGCCGCTGAGGAGCGAACTGGCGGGCATCGATGAGAGGGCGGACGCCTGGAGCAACAGGATCGTGGTGGGGGGGCTGGCGCTGCTGGTGCTGCAGTTCGCGCTGTTTTTCAGGCTGACGTACTGGGAGCTGTCCTGGGACGTGATGGAGCCGGTGGGGTACTTCGCGTCGCTGGGAATGAGCATATTGGCCTACGCCTACTTTCTGATCACCAGGGAGGACTTCGCAACCCAGTCGCTGCGGGAGAGGATAAGGAAGCACTTTGTGAACAAAGAGCTCAAGAGGAAGAACATTGACGTGACCAGGTGCTGTCCCAACCCACTGCGACAATCTGCCGTGAGTTGTGGTATTGTGCATGCAGTTTCGCCTGCAGCAGTTTCGTCGCGCTAATGCACATCATGATCAGGTGTATGCCTGGTCTGACGTGGTGGGCCGAATGTTGCTGCAGTGCTGTGGGATATTGTTAGTTAAAAGCAGGTGGTGTGTGAACAGAGTTTATGCGTTGCTCCACACAGAACAGGAAGGATGCGAGTTCAGTTGATTTGGGTTTGAATTGCTACAACCTGGCAGCTCGTAGTGCTGAGTAGGATTTGGCTGCTTGCAGGTATCAAGAATTGTTGTCAAGCATCCACAAGTTTGAGAGATACTTGGTCAGAGCCAAGTTGTGAGGTGGGCAGTGCGCTGTCAGCAGGACAGTGTGGCATTTCTATCTATTCAAACAACAAGTCAACCACAACACTGTCAGGAGCAATCGTGATCTGCGCCATCCAGATGGGCAGCTCCGATGCACGCGTTCTCAAGACAAGTGGTGTGAGAATGAGGGGGGTGAGATAAATGTGCGTGTGAGAGATGGACTTGTTACAGGGATTGGCTGTCACTTTAGGACGGTCCCCAGAAATGTCTGACAGTGAGTGTAGAGGAGAAGAAGCAGATTGATGTGTATGTGTACTGCCTCAGTTGCTGGTTCCTTCAGTATTTACAGGAGGCCACATCACATATGGAAACAACTGAAACGTCCATGGGCCTGCCCTTGCAGCCTTGACGTTTCAAACTCAGAGAGTACTCTCCACCACTTTTGGGGCGAGTAGTTGGGGAAATGTAGATGCAGCTTTCCAGACTGCCAGTTGCTGCCAGTTGCAAGTAGTGGGACTGCTGAGTTTGCTGGTTCTTTCGATGTGTAAATTTGCATGCCATTTTTGGAGATTGGAGCTGCAGCCAATGGGGATGAGTGTCTTTTCAAGAGATAGAAGAGAACATCATCCTTTTGCCAACGATCGCAGGACTCTCTCATTTGCATAAACAGTGCAGTCTGTGGAATTTGGGTACCCAACAAAAAAGATGGGATGGAAAATAGTGTGCAATCCAACAAGGGAAATATTGTTTCAGATATTATACATGCTCTCCTGAAATAGGCTTTCCATACCCTGCGTGTGACAATGGATTCCTAGAACAGTGTTTCCACCCTTTGCAGCCTTTTTGTCCTGAAATAGGCGTGTCGACTCACAGCAGAGGAGGCTTTGCAACTGGCAGAACCTCGGGTTGCGAATGTGAGTTTGCCTTGATGTTCATCGTCCTCTTGATCGTGCTCCCAAAGCACAGTGGTACCCTCAGACTCCAGAAGCCTGAGAAACACAAGCAAAGGTGATCTGAGTCACTCTCAAGAAAGATCTGAACATGCCTTGAGATTTCAATGGCAAAGAAAAGGTACCATTTGACAAAGATTTATGAGTTCTGCAGGGGAGCTTGGGTTGCTCTGCTTGCTGCATCCAATTAACAAACCTCAGATCAGTGCTGTGCCGATGGAAAAGTCTGTCAGCTGTGCATGAACATGTCAAGAACGTTCAGGACCTCACCTCGATCTTCCATACTCTCAGGTTCGAGACTGCAGTTCAACCCTTGCCTCCACGCATTGACAGTATGCCAAGACCTGCAAAGGCGGTTTATGCTGCAGTTTTTCTTTATCTATATTGCCATCAGGATCCAAGTACATGACTCTGCTACACTGCACAGATGGGTGCAATACACTGAGAACAACGTACAAGAAGTACATTAAAATCAACCTAAACTGATCAAAATAAACCTAAAGTGCCAGCAAATATGTACCTTTCACACGTCTGCCAGCTGAATCTGACAGCGTTGGGATATCCAAACACGGGATCGAGGTTGTTTCGAAGCCATGCTTTTGTGGTAGGGTCCGCAGGATATCCAGAGCCAAAACTTCCAGCATCTGCTCCCAGCTTCGATTCCAGCTCCCTGACTTGTTTATCTCGGATCACCTTGGCCACAATGCTTGCAGCACTGACGATGGGGTACAGGGCATCAGCCTTCGGGCAGACTGTGAACTCAATTCCTGGGAATCGGGAAGCGAGGCGTGACTGATGGGTCCCTGCATCTCCCACTGTGTCCACAAACACCTGCGAATGTGAAATCGCGAATTGGCTTACTTTGCACACTTTCTGCAGGACGAAAAATATAACTCCACTTTGCGTGTGGGCGTTTGACTGAAGTGCTGATTATTAGTGATTTGACCATGGACAACACTATTACGGCAGGGCAGCCAGCCCATTGTTCTTCTCACGCAGTCTTGAAGGTTGCGCTGCTGGTGCAGACAGTTTGCTGGGCTGAAGGCTGCCGTCGGAAATGCTTTACCACTTTCTGCTGCCAACAAATGACAGAGCACTCCCCTATATGAAGCTCTCTGTATAGAGCCTATTGAGTAACTTCGGGCAGAAGATTGAACCCCTAGTTCAGGACGTGGGTGAATGACCTTTGCAACAAGATGGACAGAAAGTGGACTGGTCACGCGCATTATTCCTTGCTCACGGCATTAGGAATCCGGGACCTGACTCTGTCTTTCTTGCCTGCTACAAGCTCACCTGTTTCAAGTTGATTCCATCTCCTAAGGCCTCGTCAATGAGGCCAAACGTTGCCTCGTTGGCAAGAGCATTCAAGCTCACCTTGGATCTGCAGCAACAGGGTTGGTGGACAATGCATTGTGAGTGCCATCGTCTGGTAGGTGCTGTGTCACAGTTTGGCAAATGCAATCAATGGCTTGCACAACAAACTGGAGGGCTTCTACAAGAGCTGGGGAGATGTGCTGCACAGTCATCAGAAGATCGGAGGCAGATGTTTGCAAGTCAATTCACTGCTTGCGGACAATTTGCTTCTCCAAGCAAAATGTACAGGTTGCCCAAAAAATCCACCATTGTCCTGTGTGCTGAGGGAAGCAAGCAGCCAGTTCATGAGCGGCCAGGCAGTGGTTCCTACAACCACGCCTACTAGCATAAGTTTACCAATGGTGGAACATCGGAACGTAATCTCTCAAAGCATTCATTGCTTTTCGACTATTTTTTGCCAGGGCCGTCCTTAGCTGGCTGCAGAACAGTAGCCACACCTCTGCAACATTCTGGCGGAGATGATGTGAGCAGCTAAGCTGTGGAATTTGTAGCCCATCGAGACATCGCCTTCCAGCTGGGCAAAGATCTGCTCGCGCTTCTCCGCCGTCAGGGTCTTCGAGTCAGCGAAATCTCTGGACAAACACGGCGAGCAGCAGTGAGCAATGATCAACAAACTGCTTGGGGCCATTTTGCTGGAGGCAGCGTCATTGAGAGCTTCGCTTGAGCAAGCGGCTGCAGAAGTTAACGACAGGCATTTGGAGAGTTCTACGGAATGACACACAGCCATGTTTGGTTCGCAAAAGCTGTGGGGCCCGCATAGCACCTTCACCTCTTGGCCAGGTCCTTTGACTGGGAGATGGGGCAGAAAGCGCAGGCGTACACCATTGGGCCCAGCACGGGACCTCGACCGGCTTCATCTGAGGCCGACAGACAGACTGATTTCAGACAAGGGTTCCTGTGGTACTGGTTGTCTCGCTCCTGTATCAGAATGCGACCAACAGGCTTCCTGCAAGGCGGCAGGCAGCTTCAAACCGCAACTTGGTCCATGGACAAGGGCTATCCGTGGCGCCTTCCTCCCCAGGTTATTGGGTCGGCGTCAAAGCGCTGATATCCATTCAATCGCCATTCACATCACTTCAGTCCCTGCCATGCGCTTTGGAAGCGCGAGGATGGCCACCGGATATCGGGCCAATGCGTCCTCTCTCCGCCAAACCTGCTGCTGACCTATGCCCATCATGCACGGCTGGCCATACCAGCTGGGAGCCGCGGACGGCATCTTTAAGGGCAACCCGCCAGCAAACTGAAGCGGGACGGCGCACCTGGGTGGCGCACGAGGGTGGCGCGGGTCCAAATGGGCGGGCAGTTGGGCCCGGGGGACTACTGCCGTGGCTCCCAAGTGTAAAGAATAATGTACAGAGTTTGCAAATGTACAGAAACTGTGGGCGCCCCAAGCGGGAACTGTAATCCGATGGTACGGCACAGTGGGGTGTTTGGGTCATGGGGCGGACATGACCTCCTGGCTGTCCAGGGCGGCAAGGAAGCGTTTGGAAAGCATCGCGGAGGCCACCAGGTCCCCGTACGGTGCGCCCGAAGGCGAAGGGCCGGGACCAGAACACGCGAAGAAGAGGAAGGTGGGGCCACGTGGCGGAGTTGGGGTTTTGCTGGGCGCAATGCGCGCTGATCAGTTCCGCATCAGAGACCTTTCGTGACGCGCTGGTTTTCAGGGCGACGCGGCTGTGCTTTTGTTTCGGTGGGCGCACTGGGCGCCCGCGCCGCGACGAGGCCGAGCGCGAGCAGCGGTCGGCGACTTGTGTGTTGGTCCCTGGGAGAAGCAGTGGTGAGCAAGCGGGAAACGCGACAGGATGCCACTCGGCGAGGCCGCAGTGCCTCTCCGAAAATGGCCTTCTGCTGGCACGACTGCGCTGCGTACCGGGGTGGTGGGCATGACACAAGTTCAGCCTCACGGTGGCAGCGAGCTTGCTGCAGGGAATTGCTGTGCATGGGGCATGATTGAACAACGAATGACAAGATATCCTGGTTGCTGCACTGTGGCAGGCGTCCATTTTCGGCCCTAAACATGAGCATGAGGCTGCATTGTCTGGCCCGTGGAGGGGAATGGTTGGAAGAGCGGTTGCGGAAGCGAAGCCGCAGGCACCTAACGATGTCCAAGCAGAAGTCACGGAATCCACACAAGTGAATTGCAGGCCTCCTGAGGTACAAACTGCCGGGGAAGGTGGTGAGGTAAGGTACAGGTTTCCCAACCTTTGGGCTGCAAAAAGCTCGCTTGATGTGGTGAAGAGAGCATGTGAAAGATGGCAGATGCCATGACTGGGTTTCTGAAGGTGTGAATGTCTATCACTGCGGCCAGGAGTTTCAACAGTCTGTAGGAAATTATGCATGCAATTCAGGAGATTTAAGACCAGGAAACGGCGCATCAATGTACATTTTATGGCACAGAATTCAACAGAAGGATGTGCACTCAAGGAGATTAGTGGTCTTTGCACCTGCTCTTGTGTGGTGCGCAAGCTTGCAATTCTGGCCTATCTGTATGCAATATATTTGTTGCACCTAGAGACTTCCGAATCACCTCATACGATATGGGGAGAGTCTCAAAACGTTTTCCCCAGAGGAAGGGAACGTGAATCTTTGAAGATATCCTACACAACAGCACTTCTGATGCATCATCACTGTCACACAGTGGTTTGTATCCCACAACAGTTTTTGAAGGCAACAAGTGGGGAAATTTGTCAACACAGGGTATCAGCACTTCATGGACTGCTTTCTCTGGTAGTGAATACTCTCATTTGACCGCAGATATCTTCGCATGGACATCAAGAAGACTCACAAAAGCAATTGTCCCACTGGCGACGCAGATTTCTGGCATACAATTCTGGTACCACTGAGCACAGCCGCCTGTCCAATGCTCCCTCCCTAAAACCCAAAGACCATGGCACAAGCGGAGGTGGCAGTCACAGTCCACGCACAGAACAACACCGCGAGGTGATGGGCGTTGCCAGAAGCGTGGTGGATGTGGACATCTGCATGCCTCAAAGCGGAGACGAAGACAGCCTGTGGGATTCGCCAAAAGCAAATGAGCTGAAAGATGGGATGCTGGGGGACAGATTCGAACACAAACGGGAAAGGAGAAAGAGGCTGACCGCCAAGGGTGACAAGAGAGCCCAGGCACAAGGGTGTGCTGGCCCCCAGGGAGGGAGGGCAAGGTCACCTGAGAGTGGACAAAGGAGAGATTGGGGCAACGTTTTGGGTGGCATATCTGTGGGCTGTGGGTCTCCACAAACTGAACAGCCCTGGAGCCAACTTGATAATCCTAAGCGGCCCCTTGTGGTTGTGGGCGATGACAAAGGGAACTTGCTTCTTGGAGAAGAAGGTATGTATTGGAAGCTTCACCACTGTCTGGGCTGCCAGTTGTTTTGGGCTTGTGCTTGATGCTTGCCCCTAAACGACATGGGCATATCTCAAACGTGCAGGATTTGTTTTCATTTTTATGCCTGCGCAATCAATATCACCTCTTTTCGAATCATCAGATCCACACCATTAGGGAAGAGAGCTAGATTGGAATGCCAAGGATAACATCAAGGATGATGGTTGTTTTGTCATCCTCCCCACAGGTCCAATCGCAAACAAGGCACATAGCAACACTGTTGCTTGATAACAGATGAATTGCGATGCATTACGTGTGGTTCTTGAATTGGCACAGTGTTGCAGTTGGTTGCTTGGTTGTCATGCCCCATCTCTTATGCTCTGGAGAAAACACACTGGAAGGCACCTTTTGCACAACAGGGGTCATGGTAATCATCGCTCTCTGGTAAAGAAATAAATCACAATTTGGACAGAAGTGGAAGGAAGAAGAATCCGGTTTTGTGTGGTATTGTCTGTCTACCATTTAATTCAGATGCTTTGCTGTTTGGCATGTGGCAACAATATTCAGAATCCAACTGGTAGATGCTTGTACATGTACACGATGCAGTCCACAAGTTGGGGGGGAACTTGGCGTTGCATGCTTGCATTCATTGCCTTGGTGCAGTGGCCCCCAGTAATATCTTTGGCCTTCATCGTGATCGCAGGTTCGCAAAAATTGGAGGTGCCCACAGCAATAAACAGATACTTGCGTGAATACCAGAGGGATGGTGTTCGTTTCTTGTGCCGCCAATTTTTTAAGCAGCAAGGAGGAATCTTGGCTGGTGAGAGGAAGTATTTGCAACAACTTATCCAGGGGACACAGGCTGTGAACAACCATGCAGATGAAGTACCTTTTTTGCAGTTCGCCTCAGAACAACTAAACTGCCCTGTTAATGGTGATTTTTGAGTGTAGTCCTTGCATGTTTTGAGAAGCACATTTTGTTCTGTGCAAGTTTGCATTTGTGTGGAGGGCTGTACAACTTTTCCACACCAAAAGTCTGTTCTTGACTACTGAAATGTGTGCAATGGAGCATCTCCCTTTGCTGAACTCCCAAAACAACCATATCATTTGTTTGATGCCTGAGTTGGACATGGGTCTTTGCCAGACGATATGGGCCTTGGAAAGACGATTCAAACAATCGCTTTCATAGCGGGTCTGCTGGCACGTGATGAAGGTGACAAAGGACCTGTGCTGGTGGTGTGCCCGTCTTCATTGCTGGATAACTGGGCACGAGAATTTGGCACGTGGGGTTCGTTCAAGGTGATGCATGTTACGAAACTATGCGGATTTACACCTGTTTCTTTGTTGAATGTTGCGCTGTGTGAGCAATTCAGGCTCGTCCTTCTGGAGACTCACCAATCCCATTGTGGTAGCCAGGCGTGCAACAACAAGCAGAAAAGCGAGCGATTCCCTGACGATCCAACAGCGATTGGCAAGAGGCTGACAGCATGACATATCAGTCAATGATCACTCAACATTCTGTTGTGTTTATTGCTGAGCCTATGAAACTATGGCATTTCACGGCCAGCAAAGCAAATCTGTGCATTGGTCAATTCCTGTTTCGTTTTGAAATCTTATGTGCAAATGCAGCTGCACCCACTTTTAGGTGTTTCATAGGCTCAGTCTCCAGACATTACTGTTTTGGCCAGTGACCGTGATCAAAACCTCTTCTTGCTGCTCTTTCACCTGTGGTTGTTTGTAAGTCTATGTGGTGTTGTGTTTCGATCAGCTGGGGCTGTGCCACGGAACAATGCGTGAGTCTATCCTCAGAGACGCAATGTCCATGGACATTGAGGTGGTGGTCGTGAGCTACGACATATTTCGACTGCACAAGGAAGAATTTTATAGGGTGCCATGGCTGGCTGCCTTCTTCGACGAAGTCCACAGGCTGAAATCTGGCAAGTACGAAAAGAGACGTGCTAATATCTACTGTTTATCCTTGGTGGGCAAGTCCACAGCACATACGCATCAGCACTTGCAGGGCATCCTCATAGGTTGACAAGCGAGGATGGAGATCAACCGTGGTGGCAGACAATTAAGCTGTGATTGGTTCTCGAACAGTTGTTGACGCATCTCACAAGCTGCAGATGCTCATGGGAGAACTTGAACTCAATGTGTGTCTGTCAATGCCTGTCTGCCACAAACCATGCAGTCTGTGCCCAGCTTGCTCCATCTGATTTTGGTGTTCATGGCTGTCCCTGTCCATGAGGGGGAGAGCCAGGGGGGGGGGGACACACACAATCCGTTTGCTTGCACTTTTGGAAGCATCGACAGAGCATTCACGAAGCACCTGCATAATGATGATTTGCTGGGAGGGGTTGAGTTGAGGCAATGTAAGCTTTGCATTGAGGCCATACGCCTCCAAGGGCACTCGCGGCGCCTTTTTCTTCCGGTTGTGCACAGTTCGAATTCACTATGGTACTGGGATACAGCCAGCAACAGAGTGCGCTGGTCTGCAGGTCGCAGGTGTATGCAGCTTGCGATGGGATTCCCACTCGACTGCGCTATGGCCTCACAGGCACTGTGATGCAGAACAATTTTGACGAACTTTTCTGCCTGATGGACTGGGCAGTTTCAGGCTGCCTTGGCACAAAGAAGCACTTCCGGGAACACTATGCGAAGCCAGTGCAGATGGGGCAGAAGGCAGACAGCACTGATGCACAGCGCAGGCAGGTCTGTCCACAGGCATAGTACTGACTGTGTGCTCTTCATTGTTTTTAACCGGTCTTTCAGGCAGCAGGGAGTGCTTTACTCTTCCCCTTATACAGGGTTAGTGCAGCATGGTGTACTTTTAAAGTATGTGTTGCTCAAGGGCCTTGCAGCTGCCAGCAGGATGTCAGTTCATACAGAGCACCTATTTGCATGCTACAGGGGCAGGCAGGCAAATTGTGCATTCGACATTCCGATCGATGGCCATGCAGCTTCGTGCACATGCAGTCGTTGCTTCGATTTGGCTAGAGAACAATGCCTGCATTCGTTGTGAGGCGCGAATCTGTAAGAAATTATGTGTTGTAGCTGTGTTGGTGGAGGAAAGCATACTACACTCCCTTTTTATAGAAAGCACGTGGTAGACTTGTGCTTCAACAAACCGTTCTTTTGGTGAAAAGGGAGATACTGAAAAAGGGAAACTGGCGATGTCTTGGCCAACACTGTGGGTGTATTTGTTGGCGATTCGTTTTGCTGCAACTTTTTTGCTGCCTGCTCCCTGTGCTTATGGGAGCATTGTACCATTGCACCAGCGCAAACAAATTAGTGTGCGAGCACAACAGCGCATGACGAATAGCTGCTCTTCATTCGTTTGGCACTGTTCAAGTTCACAAATGTCTTGTGCAGGCAAAAAGACGGCAGTTGAAGCTTGTTCAGAAGCTAACAAACGTCATGCTGAGACGGACGAAACACATCATAGCACACCAGCTCCCCAAGAAGACAGACAGCATCGTGTTCTGTGAGATGAGTCAAGTACAAATCAGGGCATACCAGAGGGTCATAAACAGTCCAGATGCTCAGCTGCTGGTGAGGCGTTTTGGGGGGACTGGCAAGGATGTGCATGGCTTACCATTGTGAAAATGTGAAAATTGGCTGCCCTGTCAGGCAGAGCTCTGGGATGATGAAAGTTTGTCCATTTGTTGTCTGTCCAAAATCGTGCGCCAGCTTACTATGGTGCTGTGTTGCTGCCCGGCATGTCATAGAGTAGAATATCTCCTGCAACAAACAATGACTGTCCCTCCAGGGGTGCAAGCCTCCTTTGTATGCTATTTCCCACTACTGTACACAGTGGCAGGGCTCTTCAGAATTGTGCATGGCGCGCTTGTGTCAAACTGGAGAACAATTGCTGTCTCCACTGATGACAAGTAAACTTGGCAGCAGGTGCCAGAGCAACAACATTTGGCAAGCTGCTGTATGACAAGCTGCCAAGATGTACTGCTCATGTCTGTGGCCGTTGCATTTGAAAGCATGAAGTTGTGCTGAGCATGGCGGCCAGAATCTACTGTGCATGCCTTATTGCGTCATGTTGCTGTCTTTGCAATTTCAAGGCAATAGCCCTGCAACGATGTTGTGTGTCCAGGTCCACCATGATGAACCATGCACATGCAGTTCAGGGAAACCACGTGCCAAGTGCTGCCACAAGCACGCCAAAGAGAAGGATGGTGGAGTCCTTTGGCCGCAGTTGCATTGCTGTCAATGCCACAATGCTTATGATCCCATCAGCAATCGTGATGGCTGTCGTAGGCACAAACCGGATGGTTGTGCAGCTGGTCAGGAATCAGGCAAGTGAAACGCTCCTTAATTTCCATTCATCGAGTATGGGACACCTATGCCCAACCAAAAAGTAGGCTGTGTCAAAGGAATCATGCACTGAATGGTGGCTGATTTGATGCAGTTGGGTAACCTTAAGTGCGTATACGCACTGCGTATTGCAAGTTTTACAGCCACATCACCTATACACCTGCATCCAAGTGCGACCTATGTCAATGTGTCCACTGCAGCATTGCGATGCATGCAGCGCAAAGGGCATGGCGCTTCTCTCCGTGGGCCCCAGATCACCTGAAAGCATCAATTCTTCTGTGTACGTCGTTGGCTGGGACCACAGGAAATGATGTGCATGGTGCCTTGGCAGGTAAGGGACTGGATTGCCCATTCTGCTTGGTCTTTCCTCTTCTGTCCATCCTCAGGAAGATCTCCAACCACCTGGAGCTGATCAAGGTGCACAGCAGGGATGACAAGCACCAGATTGCACGAGAGTGCAAGATCGCCAGCATGGTTCTGGGAGAAGATGCTGAAGAACTTGGTGGTGTGGAGGAGCAGCAGGAGTTCCTGTCCGTGAGCGATTCCACTAGCTGTGGAAAACTTGCAGCACTGGAGCAGCTGCTGGTGCAATGGCATCAACAACATGACAAGGTGAGTGTCGGATCAGTCTGTGAATCTTTTGACTGCCACAAATACTTGATTTCTAGAACTGCTTCTCACACAGGTGTCAATAATTGTTGACACAAAGCAGAATGGGGTGAGAGAAGCCTTGTTTGCCTGGGCTGGCTATGCGGTCAGTGTCATTTGGTTCAGAGCTGTCTTTCAGCAGCTATGTTCCAAGAATTGTTGAGCCTCAGTCTCACACAAGCATTTTTCTGTTGGATATGTGGAGTGAGCACGTCTGGCCCAAAAGGGCAAGACGTTTACAATCCAACCGAAGCCAATGCAGTGGAGTGTATATGGCATCAATGTCCGGATGTTTCTGTTGCAGCACCTCCAACACAACAGTCAGCTTTCAGACTTCAGGATAGGTTGTACAGTGTAAGCATCTGCTTGGAAACCGAGCGTGAGCGATCGACGTGAACACAAAAGATGTGTTTCTGCACTAGGCATTCTTGCACGTTTCACAGTGCATTGCTGAAAGTACTCCTGTAAGATTATTATGTCTGCGTGGATAACACTCTTCAGAAACTTCGCCCCCCCTGGTAAATAGCAAGTGCCACAGGACAGTAGGCGTACTTCACCCTGTGTTGCACTGTGTCAGCTGTGCGAATCCCGCAGTGTTTGGTGTTGTTGGGGACACACTTGTGTTGGGGATTTTGGACAGTGTCTCAAATTAGGAATTCTCAGTTCCCAACAATGTCAACTATGACAGAAAGCCGCAACGCAGCACAAGCAGCGAAAAGGTCCCGAAATTGCTTTGTTTGCAGTGCTCTTGAACTGAGGAAGGGTGCCACCAGGAAGGCATGGGGTACACGATTTGGTTTCATTGTAGCACAGTGTCACGTTGACAGCCTGCATTTCTGACACGCCAACATACGACACCACAACACAAGGTACGCATAGACTGACATGCTGATAGGTTGGCGATATTGTTTCTCACGTGTTGTCTCGAATAGCGTTTTTTCAAGCTCAGGAACCCACGACCAGTCGGTGCCGCCTTCAGGTTCTGGTTTTCAGCCTCTCTGTGAGGCTCTTAGGCATTATCGAGCGGGTGGTGATTCGTCGAGGCTACGAGTACACCAAGCTGTCTGGCTCCACGCCAGTGAAGGAGCGCCAGTCACTCGTGGACCAGTTCAACGAGAGGCCGTCGCTGTTTGTGTTCCTCGTGTCCACAACAGCCGGCGGGCTTGGCCTAAACCTCACGTCTGCAAATAGGGTTGTCATCTTTGATCCGAGCTGGAACCCTGCCCACGATCTGCAGGCTCAGGTGGGCACAGCGGGGCGTGTTGGCGCACCCGATCTGGGACCGCCATTTCTTTGGACACATTTGTGCAGTGGTGGAAATCCGTTGCAATTACAGCTGCCAAGATCATGGCAAAGCAAGCCCTGTCACCAAGCTGGTGATGTCTGGCAGTGGTCCCAGGAGACAACATGCAATCCAGTCCATATTTGTGTTCGACTGTCCCTGTTTGTGTTTATCTTCGATTTGTGCGGTGTTTTACGAAGTAACGCGATCTGTGGCTGCAAAATAACCCTGCACTGGTGTGGAGGCGTGAGGGTATTGTTCTTTGATTGTGGCAGTTGGGGGGCTGACAGTTTTGAGTGGCCGAATGTGCCTGCGCGTCATAATGTACTGGTAATGCGCTGATGAGGCAAATATGCGAGATGCGACTTGGCGGTTGTGCTGTTCCATTTGGAATGTGCAGTGTGTCAATTTGGCATCCGTTCGCGGAATTTGCCTTCGACAGGCATAAGTGCGTTTTCCTTTTCCAGTCTCAAGTAAGGATTTCAAAGGCCTGTCGCGTTGTGCATGAGGAGACGTAGAATTGGGGTGGGCGTTGGTCAATGGCCTTCTGCACGAATACCCTACTCATGGGAAATTGCGCCAACTTGATGGTATTTACATCATATTCTAATTGCTATTCGAATTTTGATTTCATAAAAGTTCATCAAAAAATGTGGGGTTTGTGTAGGGTCGATTAGCCGTGTTTTTGAAATCGGCAAGACCGCCCGTCTGAAAGCACAGCGGCCACAATTTTGTGTGTACTACTCTTTGATTGGCTGATGGACTGAATCGTTGACTGATTGCAACAGCAATGAGCGTCTCATTCATCCATGGCAGTGTGCCATTTGCCGCCTGCTGCCCTGAATTCAGCCTCCTTGTGGCATGTCTCCAATCTACGCATGTAGCAGCTGTCTTCAGAATCGAAGATCATCAACAATAATCACTATCAGGTGGTTTCGTTGTTCGCGCTCCTCGCTCGCGCTCACACACGGTCGCTCCCAGGCACGGGAAGCAAGCCGCAAACAGATGGATTACAGAATGGTTCTGTCCGTCATGTAGCATTCACCGCAAGCATATTCAATTCATATATTTTCCCCATCATTCTCCATGTCGCCATAATAAACACCGTACCCGATGCACCACACTCACTTAACTACTTATACACCTTTTCCTCATCCTCACACGCTTCCCTGCGCTAAATTGAAACATGACTCGAAATACCATCGGTTTAAACCATATCATGGTACGGCCGTATCATATCCGTATGTCTAATCCAGAGTTTCCCCTCGGGTCCCTTAACTTCCCACACCGAAGTCGTGATAGGACGAATCAACTGGCCCGGCCCTTTCCACCACGGCTCGAGCTTGTCCTTCAATGTTTCCACCTTCGTGTTCCACAGCCATACCCGGTCTCCTGCCTTGAACATTTGCGCGATGCGCCGCCCTCTCGTTCTGTGGTTCGCCATTTCTCGCTGCTGACGCGTATATTCACGCAACTGACTCCACACTTCCTGCGAGCTATTCCACAATTGCTCCGGCGACCCAAACGTGAACGAACTAGGGGTTTCTTTGCTCTCTTCTGGCGAAGATAGAGGTGTACCATTGTAGATATCCACCGCTCGCTCAACTGTCCTGGCAAAATACCTGGGTTGCTCCGCCCACATTCGCCGCAAACGATTCAATAAAGTTTGATTGAACCGTTCCACAAACCCGATAGAAGCGTGATGGTAGGGAGGAGAATACTCCTGCGTCACTCCCTCCTGCATGCACCATCGCCGCAATTCCTTGGACTGTGTAGCCTTGCAGACATCAGAACACAAAATTGAAGGTGCCCCCTGTGTCGCTACCCACTTCTTCAGTCCCCTCACAATATCAGCTCCCCCGGCACCAGCCGTTGCCCACGCCCCTGCCCGTCTGGTCAACATGTCAACAATAACAAGAACAAACCGCTTCTTCCCAACTTTTCTCTCCGGAAAAGGTCCCATAAAATCTAGGCCAATGACCTGCCCCGGCCTCTCCGGCACATGCCAACTGCCAAACGGGTTGGATGGTTGCGGTCGGTGAAACAACTGGCATTCCTTGCATAACCGCACTCTGTCCACCACCCATTTCCACTTTGGACGCAGGCCCATTTGGCGGAAATGAAGAAACGTTTTCTTTACTCCAAAATGCCCGGCATGAGCCTGCTTCCATTGTGCCTGGGATATAACTGGAGAGCGATGTTCTTCCACTGCGCGAACATGAGAAGGTCCCTGGATCCATGCCCCCTGGCGAGATAAAAAATCAGCGAGATAATTAAAAGGTCCCGGACAAAAAGAGATCTGAGGAGAGTACCAAGAGAGGAGATCTAGACGGCGCTTCAGAAAATCGCTAAGGTTAGCAGGATTGTTAAAGCTAACCGCAGCCTGGTTATCCATAATTGCGTGAACAGGGGCCCCAAAGATCCAAGGCCGGAAGGTCCGAAGAGCTCGGCAGAGCGCCTCCAACTCCATAACGTTGCTGACATGGTGCTGAAAACCAGTAGACCATAGCCCATGAGCACAACGGACGATCTTACGGCCAGCAAGCAGAACCGCACCCCAACCAATCTTACTCGCATCAGTAATAACTGTGAAGGAACCAGCAGAAACAGAAGCAGGAATAGCACATCAAATGAAATGATGACGCAACAAGGAAAGAAAATGTTGCCATCGTTCTAAGGAAGGATGTGCTTGAACCTCCCGCAAAGCTGCCAACACGAGATGTCCCTTCCAGATGAAGCGAGCAGAATGATTCAACCAACCACAAATTCGACGCCAACCTGATTGGGTTGTAGGCATAGGCGCCTGCTCAAATTGAGTCAAAACCGAGGCTGTAGGTTGAAGCCCGGAAGAAGTCAAAGTGACACCCAGATACTCAAACCGGTCCTGGCAAAAGTGGCATTTGTCCCAGTTCACTCGCCACCCGTCTCTCGCCAACTCCTCAAATAAAATATCCATATCCCGCCTATTCTGGGACGTAGACTGTGAAAGTAAGAGAATATCATCCATATAAAAAATGATCTGGGAATGAATGCGGCGTGAAACTCGTCGAACAGTAGGCCACAAAGCTCGCAGAAATTCATGCGAGCTATTTGAATATCCAAAAGGCAAACGTGTGTACTCAAAGAACCGTCCTGCCACAGCCAATCCCACTGCGCGCCACAGGCGGGGAGCAAGCCGCACTTGCAGATAAGCGTTAGATAAATCCAAGGCTGAACCAATGCGAAATGGGCGCAATGAGGCTAAAGACATCTCCCGATGAACTGGCAGGAAAGGCTGATGCTGAATACATGAGTTGAATTTCCTAAAGTCCAGAACTAGCCGAGTGGAACCGTTCTTCTTGGGCACACCGAATGCCGGAATCACAAACGGCTCGTGGTCTACCTCACGTACTGCTCCAAGCTTCACTAACTTGAGAACTTCCTCTAACACCTTAGCTTCCTCCGCGGGCCCTGTCATGGGATTACGTGGCTGGGATTTCCATGGAAGCGGAAAGCGAAAGGGAAAGTGGCTAACCACATACGTGCGACACGTCCCAAGCCCAGCCTGAAAGACAGCAGGATATTTAGACCGCAAGGCAGACGACCATGCGGGTTGTGGTGTAGGGGCGGGAGCGGCATTCCCCGAAGATTCCCTGATCGCCCGACAAAACCCCTGTCCCTTGCAACCCTCTGGAATCAAAACCACCCCCTTATCTGGAATGCGAAGCCACTGAACCGAGGAACGGCAAGCTAAAAGATCATAGCGGGGCATCAATTGCTGTGGCTCCGCAGAAAAATTCTTGAGAGCTCCCCAAATACGAACGCCGTCTGTTTTAACAAGAAACGTAACCTGGCGATTGGGAAGAGTCACGAAATAGTCCTGCAGAGAACCAATTGGAAACTTGCATGGCAAATTAATCCCGCGTGTCTCATAAGGCCCCAGGACCACACTACGATTCAACGGCAAAAATAAAAGATCATTTTTTCGATAAGGAGGGTAAAGAGGGCGTTCAAGAAAATCTAGAAAAACAGGCTGTCCACTACGCCATCCATCCCCCCCAGCTACAGCTACCCGAGGCGACTGAAAGGTGCTCAGTCGCGGTCCACAGCCGCCGCTGGGCCGCGCCTCCCCCCGTTTCCCAACATGTATCGGTTGACCCCACCGCTAGTCCCTCGCTCACCGGTAACCCGAACGGTGCCAGGGACCATACGAGGTGAATAACATGGCAAAAGAACACCCTGGCAAAAAGCAGCACTGCGCGGGATGGTGACTGGGGCAGAGCCGGTGTTGACCAAGATAGCCTTGATACGGCCCCTGTAATTGCCATCCACCACCCCACCCAACACCTGCAGGCCATAGCGATGAGCCAAACCCGACTTGCCCTTTAGCAAGCACCACATACCGGCGGGAAACTGGCAAGCAATACCAGTATCAATCGTCTGGCGCTCCCCTGGCTGCAAGCGAATCTCCGTGGGGGCAAAGAAATCGAAAGCAGCATCTCCAGAAAACTTCTTTGCTGGATAGGATGGAAGACAACCTTGAATGGGGAAGCGTTCGACAAGCAGTGGTAGAGTTGAAGACTGGGTTGGACAGCAAGAAGGGGAGGAAGTAGGAAGTGTAGCTGGTGTAGCCTGCGGGGCCTGCACCGGGAGACATTTAACCTGCCCACCGCCATCCTTCTGGGTCAAGGCTCTGGAGGTACAATCAACCAACAACTTATTGGCCTCCAAGAATGTAAAACCCATGATGAGAGGTGGCCCCTTGCTGTGAAGAACATGGGCAGGCATAAGCATATCCGTGCCCTCGACCTTGATCGGGAGGGTGACCTCCCCAACCATAGGCTCGGAGTCGCCATTCCCATAACGGACCTCACGATGGCATGGTCGCACTGAATCCCACAAACCAAGTCGCTTCACCAAATGCTGCTGAATAAAGGATGAAGTAGCCCCGGTATCCACAAGGGCAAGCACATCGACACCTTCAATGCGGACCTTCACATGAAGAGACTTTTTCTGAATTGCGCGACAGGAAGATGGAAGAGTCAAAGTCTGATTGCACTCCTCATCGGGGTCAGGCTCACAATCGTGGAAGGCGTCATCCCAAAAATCGTCTTCGCCATCAGTAAATCCAGTGTGGACCTGGCCAAAATCTTCCCCAAATTCCACCTCCTGCTCGTGCAACTGTTTGCGGGGACGGCGACGGGCGAGAAAATCCTCCGCTTCACGTTTAAGAGACGGTGAAGTGGAAACCAACTTTTTCCACGCAGTCATGAGGCTGCGGGGGCCGTCAATGTTCTTGAAAACGATGGTGTCACCTCGCAAGACAGGATGCTGGAGGCGGCTAGAGCGGACCCCAAGGCCATATTGATCCTCAAACTGCACCGTATCAGACACGCCATGGAGAGACTGGGCACTGCGAGCTTGGCCATGGAGATCGATGTCCATAGGATCAAACATAGTGGATTTGTCCCCAGTGCAATTGGCCCAGTAACGGACACCACGGAGCGCCTCTAAGAGCTGGGACAGATCCGCATTGGGCGCGAGGTAGCTGATTTGGTGTCGCATGTCCTTAGGCAGCTTCCGATAAAGCTCGACAGCTTTAATAGGCCCCGAGACATGCTCACAAGTGTCAGCATAGAGGGCATAACGGTCGAGAAAATCGGTCCAGGTCTCCTGCGGTCGGCGCTGCATCCGGGCAAGGTAGTCCTGTTCCGTAAGCGGATTGTGAGGCAATAATGCCTTCACCCGGGTCGTCAGATTGGTCCATTTGTCCGCATTGCCCAGCTGCTCGCCATTGATATCAGTGGCAAGTTTGGCAATCCTTCGGTGGGGCATACTGCCCGGACGGAAGAAACGCAGCAAGGCTCGCGTGCGGTGGGCGAACTCTGGGCCCTTGGCTGCCCAACGGGCCGCATCGAAGACCCACTGAAGGGTGTCGTGCGTCAAAGAGTCCAAAAGCTGCCCAGAGAAGTCATTCCCGGCGTCCGGTCCAGGATGGGGCTCAATGCCGCTGATGATGAGAAGCTGTTCGATACAGTCACGCTCGTCGACGGTGCCGGCATCCCGAAAATTGTCCATAATGTCCCCAGGGGTAGCCATGGGGCGGGGCAACATCGTGAGCCCAACGGTGTGGGCATCAGGAGCCGGTAGTGCTCGTTCACGCAACGGATTCCCAGGTCGCCCCGACTGAAATTGTGGCACTGGGGGTAGAAAAGGAGCCGCCACGGGCGCTTGCTCAGGCTGCCAAGGGGTAAAAATGCCAGATTCTTGGGGCCCATTTACACAATGGGCGCCTATGTCCATCCCCATAAGCCCCTTTTCGATCGAAGTCCCAATTGGCGTCATATTGGTGGAGAGCATGGGGGTGGTCGCAACAGCTACTGGGCCCCTCGCGACAGGAACCGGCGACAGGAGTGCTGTAATGGAGGTCGCCGTGACCGCAATTCCTGACAGGAGTGGGCGCCCAGCTGCAATCGCGCGCGTCGGAGCTTCTGCTCATCACAGAAGCTGGCCGCCCTAAAGGGAACCCGCCTCCTATGCCCGTGACTAATCTGTCATGTGTGCGGCCCGTCAGCTCGCCCAGTTCCTCTGCGCCCCGTACGCTCTCCGGTCGCCGTCGCGACCCAGGCACCTCGGGGTCGGTCCCCTCGGCCGGCGCAAGCTGTGACCGGTCCCTCGCGGCCCCCAACGTCGCACACCCGCTGCACATCCCTCCCATCGCAACGGCCTCCCTTGGGATTGAGCCGTTCGCCGGCAGGGCACCATCCCCAAGGTGGTCATGTCCCGCACGGCTCTCACAGCTCTCAACCGCTAACCCACACACCCTCCCCCGCGCTCGCGTCCTCGTTCGCGGAGCGCCCGCCGGCTCGCACGTCGGCTGATCGGCCGCTTTGTTCGCCCACTCCCCCCATCTTGCAGCCCATTCACAAAACGCTGCGGCACGTCCCCACGCCGTAGCCCTTCCGGTTACCGCGCGAATCGACCCACCGATCGTTCGCGACATCTCGCCCCACTCGCCGCTGCCTCCGCGCAAGGAACGGCGCGCTGCTCCGTCCGCAATCCCCGTCGAGTCTCCGGCTACTGCCACCTCCCTGGCTACCGCGCCATGCGCGCCATCACCGGTCGTTTCCGCCATTCCTCCGGTCATCGCGCGGTTCCCAACATGCCCCGCCTGACTCCCCACCTCCCCGGCCCTTGCGCCACGCGCAGCGTCCTTCGCTCGTTCGCCCCCGTCTCTGCCCACGGCTCCCTTCCCAGCACCGAACATTTGACTCGGCATGGCGTTCAAAGACATTCCCATTTCCGCCGAAGCCTCGCCATTCGCCGTGTCACTGACATGGGCCGCCGTCTCACCGGTCACCGCGAGAGTCGCAGCCTCCCACACCGAGTTCGTGCCCTCCCCCGGGCTCTTATGCCAAGCCGCCGTTTTAGCCCGCCCCACCGCTTCCCCGCTCACCGCGTCATTTCCATGGCCGTCCGTCCGCCTCGACGCACAGCTGGGGATCGCTCCCGCATCCAACGACCCTCCCAACCTCCACAGCTCCCGCTTGAGCCGATGACGGGCGAATGTCCTCCGCGCATGGAAGGCCTCCCACTGCCGCACTCTGCGCCACAACCTGCGACGATCTCGGCCGTTCAACGCTCGGCCAAAACCGCCGCAGGTCGCCCCGAGGTCGACCTCGATCCTCGGTTCAAGCGCCAGCCACACCAGCCAGCACATCCACCAGGCGCGCCAGGCCGGTCTCCATGACCGGCGCGACCTGGGCTCCGAAACCATATCAGGTGGTTTCGTTGTTCGCGCTCCTCGCTCGCGCTCACACACGGTCGCTCCCAGGCACGGGAAGCAAGCCGCAAACAGATGGATTACAGAATGGTTCTGTCCGTCATGTAGCATTCACCGCAAGCATATTCAATTCATATATTTTCCCCATCATTCTCCATGTCGCCATAATAAACACCGTACCCGATGCACCACACTCACTTAACTACTTATACACCTTTTCCTTATCCTCACAATCACCATCAAGAATTCTTACATATCCAGGCGAGGAGGCAGCAATCAGCTCCTTATTTCGCCCGAGCAGTCCATGAATTGTTTCATGAGGACCTAAGGCATTGCCACAATGGCATGTCTCACTGCAAAAGACTGCAAACACCATTTATCACCGCTGTAACATCGAGAGCTTTTGGCGTTGGTTCCTGGCGCGACGCGTCTGCCCGCCGCCTTCCCCGTTGCAGATGCGAAGACGCTGCCTCGTGCTTCTGCAGGACCGGGCCTTCCGCATCGGCCAGCGGCGGGATGTGACCGTGTACCGCCTGATCGCTGCCGGCACCGTGGAGGAGCTCGTCTACACGCGGCAGATCTACAAGCAGCAGCAGAGCAACCTGGTGATCGCCGGCGGCGAGGAGCGGCGCTACTTCGAGGGCGTGCAGGGGGTGAAGGACATGAAGGGGGAGCTGTGGGGCGTGGGAAACCTGCTGAAGCTGGCCGCCGACAGCCTGATGACAAAGGCCGTGCTGGACGGAGGGGCCCACGGCAGGCGGTGCGAAATCAAGGAGGTCAAAATCGAGGCCGAGGCGGGCCCTGGGCTGGGCTCGGAGGACAGGGCGAGCTGGGGATTGGACGACCTGTGGGGGGAGGGCAGGCCGGAGGACGGTGGCCTGGGGGATCTGGCGCGCATGCTCGTGCATGGCGAGTCCCCGGACAAGAGGGCCGGCGGGCCCGCCGCGGAGGCCACCGCCGCGTCGCTGCGCGGCTGCGAGGCGGTCCTGTACTGCCATCAGCACGACGACATCGTGGGCGTGTCCAAACAGGAGGACTGCAATGGCGGCGTTGTTTCGCCGCCTGACGCGACTGGGTGCATGTCGCCGCTGGCGGATGGGACGGACGAGGGATCTGTAACACTTCAGGATTGCGGCCGGCCTTCGCGTGCGGGTGACGCCCAGGGAGCTACGGATTTGGGGCACGTTGACGGCTGGGCCTACTCGCTTCGGGCAAAGCCGCCTTCTGGTGCATCCGCCATGGGGCCAGGCGGGCGACGCTTGATCAGCAAAAGGGTGACAACACGTGATCCGCCAGGGCCGCGGCGGGAGAGTGACAGCGATCACGGTTCGACCCACGACCTCTCGATGCTGGCGCTGACGTCTCTCGCCGCTTGGTGCGGAAGCAACCCCACTGAGATGGCCCATAGGCTGTTGGACATGACGCAGAGTGAACGGAGACAGCTCATGATGGAGTACGCTCACGACGGCTCGAATCCTCCCTGAAGTTTTCAGAACGACGCATATTGTATATTTCAGAAGTACCACGCAGTGTTTATGATTCTATTAATATACTGCAATATAGGCCAAGTGGGGTCTCGTTGTAATGTGTAAGGGTTGCAGACTTTCTTACACCCTGAATTTCGGTTGTTCCTCTTCTTTACGAGCTGCACCGCGATTGAAAACGGAATTTAGTTTTGGTTACTGAGATTGGTTCATGTTCTCAGGCGCCCATCCCCTGGCGCGTTGGTAATGACCCTCATCTTTAGAATCCTTGACAGCTCGAGTGCATCAGTGTGCATCGAGGGGGCGCAAAATGGACCCAGGAGGCAGTGACGGGGATTGTCGACGTCCCGCCCGTCCCAACCGACCACACAAATGTTGGACACCATGCAAACAATGCCCCATATCGTCAGCGCGATTCAGAGCCTGACAGACTGGACAGGAGATGGCAACTCAGGCTGTCAACATTCTGGTCAACCAACCACACATGAGATGCCCCCAGCATCGCATCGCAGTACTTCCAAACGATTGTGGTGGTAAATCCAGGCCGCGGAATCCAGGTTGTTGCCTACGTCAACGAAGACTGGTCTCCCTCCAATGGCCTCATCAGCGTTGAACATGGAGATGGGGCAGATGCACAACACGTTGCTACACTGCCGGATCCTCAACACCTCTTCAACGGGGCGGCGTCCACTGAATGTTCTATCCACGATCCAACGAAAGCCTTGAAGGATTCTCCCGTAGGAGTCCTACGGCTTTCGTCCGATGCTTTGATGACAGTTCTATTCCGATTGTGTTCACCTTGGTTGTCACGAGGCGTTCTCTATCCTGCGACCTCGACGACTTTGCGCACCTCTGTTTTCAACCTCCTGAATCGAGAACAGGTCCCCACGTGGACTGGGTGTGTACAGCCCGTCCCGTCTGAATTGAGGCATGCGCGACAAAGCCATCGGGCTCATTGTTCACCATGATGGTCATTCACTCTTACAGAACAAGGCAATGAGGTAGCCGTCAGCTTACATTTTGCCAGAGCACAGCAGTCTATAAGATCAGTTCATTGAGATCTAATGTTTGACACAAAACATCGTGCTCAATGTTCACAAAGAATCCAGCCAGGATACCTCCGTCCAACGGCAAACGGTAAGTTGCCATGTCGAGTCGCGCCCCTTGACTCTGTCAGCAGGTGTGACGTTTTCTTCTTGTTGGTGAATTCCATGCTCACATCGCCATTTCACTTCCTCATTGGGTATGCCGGTCATTTTCAGCGCGAAATGGGACTGAGTGGCTCAATTTCATTCGACAAAGTATCTCTGCATTAATGCTACATTTCTCACCATTTATTGCTGCATATCAACGCAACGGGGGTACCGTCAGCCCCCATTTTGCCTTGGGAAAGTAGCGTCTGTGGCTCGTTTAAATGCAAAATTTTCGCCTGCATAGTCCAGTATTCACTAGTTTCCAGTTTCCCAGATAATATTGCCTGTGGTAACAGGTAGGCGGAAGGCTGTTTGAAAGAAGGGGATTAGGGGAGCATGCAAAGAGTGACATTGCTGTGCCACGGCGAAACACACTCGTGTGGCTTCGGTGCACACTGCCAGAGGCGTGGCAACTAAGGCAAAATATATCACAGGATATCTTCAGGACCAGCGACTGGCAGAATATTGCTCAATCACACTTTTTCGAATTGTGTTCATGTTGTGCTAAAATGGAGCAAAGTCGTGTGACTTTACAGGAAGAAAAGTGGCACCAACAAAGTTGTTAGGACATGGTGCCAGTTTTCTCCGGGTATTGACACAATGGAGACACACTGCTCGAAAACTCCGGAATGGATTGAAGTGGTGCGTGTCGTTGCAGTTCGATCTCCAGAAATTGGACCCCTCATCCTGGTTCACAAAGCGGCAGTCCTGTAGCACATTCGAGCAAACTTGCACCCATCTTGTTGCTCATAAAATACTGACCAGGTTCTTCCCCAGCCCTAAAAATTGGTCCCTGCTTAAACCGCTTCCGCATCCTGACTGACCATGCTGCGCATAATGTACTGTCAACGGTCTTCCGCAGCATAATTTTGGTTCCCCCCTAGGCATAAGCCCTTTCCGGTTGAATTGGCCATGCTGCGATGATGGAATGGCAAACTCATCATGGGCACCTTCCCTTGGGTCCCAAGGAAAATTCCCGGAATTTGCTACCTGAGCGGCTCAAGAATGTGCCAGGCAAATTGAAACAGTCACCATGCTGATCCGGCTCCGCTCATGTCATGTGTACACCAGTCACATGGATTCAAACTCCCGTATATAGAGTCTCACAGACTCGCAGCCGATTGTCCAACGCGGCATTGATGGTTCTTTGCACCAATTCCTGGTAACGCATATGTAAAACGCACTTTTCTCTAGATCTTTTAAGACCCTCTCCTCGCAAAACGGCCGCTCTTATTTTCAGGCAACCGACTCATGGGATGCGCCACAAAATGCGTGAAATTCTGGAATGCACCCGTGCGCACTGGCCTACATACCACATCCTCCAATGCCAGAAAGAGCCCTCGGAACCTTCAGTGCTCATTGGCCACGTTGCACGTTGCCTGGCGACATTCAGCGCCGTTGAACCAACGGTCCGACATCTACGTCGGTTACTCACCTCCGCACTCGATCACACACTCAACACATGTGCAGAAAACATGCCCGGTCCTGAGTCCCAAACGCAGCTCCAATGCCGCGCTGTCTTGCCCGGCTCCCTGGTCTCCCTGGCACCCGCTCAGGGGCCCCGGCGCGTCCTGTGCTCTCTGGACTCCTGGGTGGTTTACAGCGGATGGTGAAGAGGATGTCTGGCCCGGGATCGAACCGGGTACCACTGGGTGGGGTTTCCCACTGCTCTGTCAAGAAACCTGGGCCACAGGCAGGAAGAGGGTTGTCCGACCCGTTCAGTACCCCACCACCCAACAGTGGGCAGGGATTCCGGCACGTCGGAGCGACATAACCAGCTCGGGTATCAGTCGACCAGCTAATTGTGCAGCGGCTTCAAAGAAACGGGCGACTGCCGTAGAGCGGTTTGTCGTCGTTTCTCCTCTGAAACAAGACGAGTTCGTCCTCCGCGCCTCTCCAGCGCGCCACCCCGACCTCGTCTTTTCCTTGCGCAGCAACAGGACCCAGAATCCCGATAGGAGTCCCGCCCATTCGCGCGGGGGCGCCCAAAATCCGCGGTGACGTCACATGTCACGAATATCAGACGTCGTGACGTCAGAAGCCGCCCACGTCCGACCCCCGGTGGCATCACACGCATCACACCACCACCCAGGCGGCATCCCCCTCCAGCGCTGCGCCCCCGACATCATGCCCCCGACGATTCCCCTTTTGTCCGGTGTCTTGTCCCGTATTATTCCCTTATGTGTTCGATGCCGCCGACGTAAAAGGCCGCCCAGCGGAGGGGGCGGCGACTGCTGGCGGCCGCGCGCGCCACACAGCACACCATGGGCTCCTTCGGCGGCTACGGGCACGACTCGCTGGCGGTCCAACGCACCGTGCCCGTCCCGCAGCCCTACTGGGCGGACTACGGGGGGATTTCGCGGGGAGTGGCGGCCCTGGCGTCGACGACGTGCGATTCGTGAGTGCGGGGGGGAATTGGATCGGGCGGACGGCGCGTCGGCCGCCGCCGATGCCGATGCAAATTGCCAACGCTCGGCGGTGTGGGCGCACCATCCTCTCTCCGCCCAAGCGGGGCCCGTTCACTCCGCGCGGTACCTTCGAAAGCGCGCTTCTGCGGGCGCGAAAGCGTTGATCACCCGCGTGGAGGGATTTTGGCGGCGGCGGCAGCGGCGGCGGCTGTGTGGGGATTTGTGCAACGCGGGACCGCGCCGCGCGCCGGTGCCTCCCGCGCCCGCTGTCGCTCCCCCCGTGTTGGGCCTCGGGTCCCAACTTTCCATCCGCGCCAACACAGGCTCGCCGCGCCATGCACCACCTTTCTCCAGCCAGCCATCCTCTCCTCGAGCGGCCTCCCTCCCGGAGCCCGTCGCTGTGCGGAGCCGGCCGAGCGGGGGTGCGCCAACCTGGGAGCCCCTTTCTGAGGTTTCTGCGCGCGTTCCGGCGAATATTCCCCGCCTTACTGTGAAGGTGCGCCGGGCCCAAGGTCGGTGGCAATACCTGCGGCGCGCCCGCGCCTTCGGCCTAGCCTCGAGGCGTGCCGGGCGCTGCATGCTTTGGGGGGGGGAAGGGCGTCGCAGGTGGCGCGGGGAGCCCACCGCCCGGTGAGCCCGCCCGTGCGGACGGGGTAGCGATCCCGGCGGTGATCGGTGATGAATGGATGGTCGTGCAAAACGCGCGCGGCGGCGCGGCTGTGGCGCGCCGGCGACCTCGTCGCTTGCTCCGAGAGGTTGGCGCCCTCGAAAGCGTGGGCGCGCAAGTTGCGTCACGAGGGGCCCGCTGAAGCTCGTCGTGGCGGATGTGCGGCGTTATTGTTGGGCGGTTTAGCTTACGCGCGGCTATGCTTTTGGGTAGCTTTGCTTCTGTGTGGCTTTGTTTTCTTACGAGAGCGGAGAGTTTGGATGGATGGCGGCGGATGCGACGGGCGTTGGTTTTCGGGGGGGGATGGTTTTGGAGAAAGGCGGCCGTCCAGCGCGGTGGCGACGGCTGTTGCCTTTGGAGGAGGTCGCCGGCGCCGGCCTCCCCCGCGCTGGCGTCGCCCTGCGGCGTGGGGGTGATGGCGCGTGGTTGGTGCACAGGCGGGAGAGCGCGAGCCGGTGGCGGTTCCGAAGCTGAGGGACGAGTGCGTGAAGACAGGGGCATTCGTAAAGCCGTCCGGCGATCAAACGACACGGGCGAATACCCCGCGGGTCGCCTCCCGTTTGTAGACAGCAGGCCCCAGGGCGGCTGGCCCCACGATAATGGCCATTCCCGAGGGGAAAAAGATTATCGTTTTGGGGCTTCCCTGGGAGTCAACGTGAGTGGCTTTCAGGCACCAGTCGCGCGCTCGCTGCGGCCTCACTTTATAGAAACGCTCCATGTCTGCGCAGCTTTGGCAGGCGGCTGCCTGGTCTTTCCCAAGTCCCCGATTTGTGGATCTTTGATGGGGTATTCGCATCGTGGGCTGTTGTTTGTTCCAATCCCAGCAAACGGGGATGCCCTGCTGCCTGAGCGCCTGCCAACGGTTTGAGTGCGTTCCCACAGGGAGAGCACCGTCGAGTCCCATTTCTCGAGGTATGGGGAGGTGGAGTCCGCGGAGGTGATACACGACAAGGTGACCGGCAAGTCGAGAGGATTTGGATTCGTCACCTTCTCTGATTCATTGGCCGCCGAGCAAGCCCTTGCGGACTCTCACACCATCAACGGCCGTCGGTGCGAAGTCAAAGCCGCCGTGCCAAAGGTGAGGGACGTGCTGGGAATCAAAGCGGCGCTTGTTCTGCGCACAAGTCGATCAGTATATGAAGTGCGCAGACTGGTGAGGCTGTGCGCAAACGATTTGCACAGTACCTGAATTCCGCGCCCTTCTTGAAGGTCTAAACACCCTGTTGCGCGTGTGTGGAGTGCAGGGAGAGCCCATTCCCCCGAAGACCAGGAGGATCTTTGTGGCCCGCATTCCGTCGACGGTCACTGAAGATCAGTTCAGGGAGTATTTTGAGGGCTTCGGGATGGTGGAAGACGCCTACATGCCAAGGGACCACATGCGCCAGAACTTCAGAGGCATTGGGTTTGTGACGTTCGCAGACCCTGCGTCCACAGAAAGGGTGATGGAGGTTAAGCACAGGTGGGCGCATGGCATCAGACAGCTTGTAGCAAGCCGCCCTTAGCCCTGTGTGCATACAATGCTGAACTGTTTGACATGGTTTCCTGTCTGTGATAAAGTGGCTGTGCTGTCAAAGAGAACAACACAAGTGCTGCTAGCGCACCGCCCTGTGCATGCAATATGCCGTGGTTTCGGAGGAGACACATGAAAGGCCATCGTCCTTGCCTCAGACAGCGTTTTGCAGTATGGGAACCAACCAATTTGGCACGACTGGCCAGCTTGGCGTGCAGAGGAGGATGTGATGAAAAGCTGCCCTTTCTCGGGTGCAGGTTTGATGAGCACGAAGTGGTCGTGGATCGAGCCACCCCCAAGGATTCCACTGGTGCCTCCCCCCGGAGGCACTCACTTGGGGGCCAACATCCGGGACACATGTCCCACGATGGCAGTGGCAGCACGGGTGGGTTGAGGACAAGGGGAGGGAGCCGATCCGACCTCACCCTGGCTGGCAGTGGCTTTGGCAGTGTGTCCCTGAGCGATCAGCACAGTCGCCACCTGGACTTGCTTCAGAGCCTGCGTGCACAACAGTGTCAGGACTTGGGAGTTGCGGCGCGGCCTGCTCACAGAGTGATAGACGTGGAGCACTCAACAGGTGGGCAGATTGGGGCCTGCTTGAAGCCTGTTGGCAGTTTGTGCCGTCTTTCTTGTTTGCCAGTTCACCTATTCACCTATTGCCAAGTTCAGTGCCCATTGCTTGTTCAATGTTGTACTTTGTGATAGCTCCACAGCAAGTAGAACACATATGTGTGTACTCACACCAAGGGAGCAGTCTCAACAACTAGGAAGTGCGGTCACCAACACATTTTGCTGTCTTGTCTTTTGGAGTCAGTGGGAAGGGGACCTGTGGCTAGCACAGCCACCCGCAGATTTTGTTAAAGTGTGCATCATGTGATGTCCAGGCGATTTGCCCGCAGCAAGCGAGTTTGGCCTGTCCAGTGCCCTTGGCCACGATATCCCTGGTCTGAGGCTTCAACACCAGGACATGGGGCTGGGGTCGCTGTCCAGCACAGTGGATCCCCTGTCCCAGGGTCTGGCCATTGATTTCGCGAACCGTCTGCGGGAGCTGTCCACAGGGGGTATGGAAAGTGTGCCAGGTAGTGTGGGGATCAGCAGCCTCACCAGCAACCTGCTCTCCCGCTCCTCCTTGCAGCTAAGCCCGAATTCGCTGATTGGGCTGCAGTCCGCGTTGGGTGTTGAGACGCAGAGTCCCTGCCGGAGAATGGACAGTGCACGAGTTTCATCAGCAAGGTGGGTGTTCCATCTCTGGAGCAGGCTGTCTCTTAGTGCAGAATTTGTTCAGTATTTGCTGCATTTGTGTTCCGCTACAGTTTCGCCAATGTATAACAGCATTACCCTTCATCCTTCGAAATGATAGCATTCATGGTTCGCTGTACATTGTTCAAGGATGTGTGTTGACTTCCTCGAACGAATATTCCAGCAGAACATCTCCTCTGCCTTGTGGGCCTGTCCTGCATTGACAGTGGTTGTGATGTGGATGACAGGGGTGGCCCCAGGCTGTTCGTTGGCAAGTTGTCCAAAGACACAACCGAGCAGGACCTGCGCGACTATTTCATGAAGTATGGATACGTCATGGATGTGTACATGCCAAGGTCGAAGGACAACAAGAAGGAGCACAGGGGATTCGGATTTGTGACCTTTGAGACCGAGGCTGCTGTGAAGGTGAGTCTTGAGTGCTGTCCCTGCTGCTTGAACAATATTCCCAACGTAGCACGATACATCAAGGTGCTGTACATCAGGTTGCCATTGCCCTGGTACTACGGTGAGCGAACACATAGCTTCGACAGTGCCACACGACCACAAGGAGTTTCTCTTGGTTGTCATTTCATTGTTGTGCAAAAGATACTTTCGCTTTTGTCAGCACATTTTGCTGCCCATGCGCCTGTTTGGAGATCAACACCAATCTCTCATGCACTGCACATATCCACAACGGCTTTTTGGTGTTCAAATTTCATATCATAGAACACCCCTTTGAGGAGTTTTTCTGGGGAACTTCCTGGGACAGCCTAATGAGGTTGCTGTGTGCCGCAGCGCAATGATTGTGCAGGGACACTCATGGTGTTGTGTGTGTATGTGTGTGTGTCTCTGTGCAGCGAGTGGTAGCACACGGGGCACACAAGTTGAAGGGCGCCGTGATTGCGATTGATGTGGCGCTGCCCGAGGAACCCCCCCTGGTTCCCCTTGGCCTGGAGGGCAGAAGGAGCGGCGGCCTGTCTGGTGGGGCGATGGCAAACATGGTCGCCGGAACCTCCATTGGCCTGGATGTGGACTGCGCCGTTGGACGTGGAGCCGGCATTCACCCGATGCACACGTTGCAGCCGTATTGATGGACTTCATCGTGGCGGACGTTGGGACAGGGCGCGGGAAGGGAGGGGGCCTTGTCGTTCGATTGGGTGAGTGGATATGGAGTGAGATTCTGGTTTTGTGGCAAACGTGGTTTGCATTCTGGAGAGCTGGTCACGCACAGTGTGTTCTTCTGCCCGTTGCGAGAGTCTTGCGCAAGCCGCAGGCCCCTTGAAGCGGACGGGATTTTTGCGCGGGGAAGGGGTGGAGGCGGGGTGGGGCAATTATATCTTTCATCGGGACTGTGGGCGCTGTAGAAAGTTAGATGCCAGAGTTGGGTGCGCCCCCGTAGATGCAGGTTAGGAGTGTGTGAGCAGAAAATTGATGGAGTGCAGGGGCGCTGAGTGCCGTAGGTTGCTGGAGTGACGGTTGCCTGTTGATTGACGCTGCAGAGCGAAGAAAGGAATCTCTTAGGGGGGATGCAACTCGTCCTTTCCTGTTTTCTGTTTGCAAATTCAGAGCTTCGGCCGCTTGGACCTGCCCCGATGGGGTGCAGGCCCTGGACTGAGATAGAACGAGCGGGCAACGCCCTTTGTAATGACCACTTTGAGTTGTAAATTTCTGTAAGAGGGAAGAGAGCTCGGACAAGGTCTCAATCGTGGCGTCAGACCTCTGAAGTGAGCACCGGCCTGTGGCCGCCATTCTGGCGAGGAAGGCGCCACTGGTGCACAAGCGCTGAACCAATCCCAGCTTGTGGGCACGCACACACCCTGGCGATTTGCCCATGGCGAAGATCTGCCAGCCATCGTTTCTCGGGAGCGGCCGCCCCCGGTGGTACAAAACCCCCAAGCCAAGGGGGTGGTACTGTCCGCAGTCTGCAAGGCGTGCGGGCTTCAGTAGTTACTCGAGCATTTCGGAAGCCAAAACCACACAATGTGTTGGAAGCTCACAATTCATCCGAAGGCCGCTGGGGAGAATTGGGCCGTGACGAAACGTGGTGTCAACGCACAGGGATGCATCTGGTCACGTGCGGTGACGAATCATGCAATCCATTTCGTCGCTGCCGTTCCGGATGCGCCACACACCAGCACCTCCGCAGCCCCACGAACGCAATTTGCAACGCGTCGCTCGGCGGAGCACGACATCGGCATCGCTGGTCCGGCACGTCCTGAAACAGTCCCGGTTCCTGTTTGATGTTCAAGAGGCCGTCGCGTGAGTCCCTGGCATTGAGTCCCCGAATTTGGTTCACAATTGTGCGTTTGATCTTTTCGATGCCGCTTTTCTGTGCGCTGCTTATTCCGATCCCCTTGCATCAGCTGTTCGGCCCAGAGCTGGAGCCGAACCTAGAATTTCCAATGCCGATCCCGCACAGATGTCACCACGAGCCAGCCTGGAAAACGGCGCCGTCGCAGTCCCAGATTGTTGCATGTGTGCTTCAGAGCCGCCTCCGCGCATGGCCCCATCTCCCTGCACATTGAGCAGCACTTGTGGCTCTTCCGAGGATGGAGCGCCCCATCTGGATTCGAGTCTCAGCGCAACGCTAGCCTCCCTGCCAAAGTCAACACAACTGCGCCCAAGAACCGGAGCTTCCCCCTGCGCCAGCTCTCTCGGAAAAACGACGGACAGTGCTGGCAACGGCATGCAGCAAATCCTCTTGTTTTCGTTCTCAAGTTTTTATCTACATATCTTCCAGTTCGCCTGAAGGACATCACCTTGAGAACCTGAAAGGGTTGTAATTCGTGCGTCTTTTGGCCCAAAGCGTCGGAGCATTTGCCGATTCGGACAACTCCAGCATGGACATCGTGGCTTCCCGAATTTGAACACGGGCGAATTCACATTGTCCAGCACGGGCGCACACGGCGCCCTGGCTCTTGTGCGTCGGTCTGAACAACAGGCGCATCGAAGCCACTGTTTCCCCGCGCTGAATGGCGCACCGCCTGCATGCAACAGGTGCATCGAAACTCGCCTCCTGGCAGTCAATGTCCAACGTCTCTCAAATGGCGGCTACAAGAGCGGGTCGGAGCCAATCCACGTAACTCTTGAATTGGGCCATTTGGTGTGTATCACGCACTCCAGGGGAGGAGGCGTCGTTCCTTCGCATCTGGTCCTGTCCTCAGGTACTGCGGGTGCGCCGCTGTTGCGCTGACTGACCGCAAGGCGGATGGGCGCCTCCTGGTTGGCCAGGCCGTCGTAGTACATCAAGTCCAGCGGCAGACTCTGTCCTTTGGTTGTAGCAAAGAGCACAGTAAAGTGGCTCTCGGAGCAGACGACCCAGACCGGCAGACGCGGTGATTTCAGCAATTGGCCCACCTCCACGTACCTGTTCACAAGTACAGCTGGTTGGCTGGTTGTCGGCGTTCCGAAAACTTGGCGCATGTCGCAATGGCGGCAATTTTGATGCCAACACCGGCAAAATGTGTCAACATGACGAAATCTCAAACAGCACCGCTTTGTCCTTGGTCAAAGCGATGCAGTGAACAGCAAATAAACTTGGCGTCGAAGTGTAGGTCTCCTCCAGGATGGCAATCCTTGTATGCATACCCAGCACCCGAGGTGCCTCCTTCACGACCTCTGGCAGGTGCACCATTTGTGCTGATACTTGTGCTGGGTCTACAGCAGTTTTGCTAATAATCAACACATAGAATCTTTCTATCAAGCGCGATTCTTATTGTCTTCCTTTAACGCTTGATATTAAGAGCATAGTGTCCTGAGCAAGTGTCACCTGTGCCATTCCAGCAGCGTGAGAAGCCCCACCCTGGGCCTCGACGTGATTCCATGCAAAAGTTGTCCCTCTATTTCTTGGTTTCCATCAAAAACATTGGTCGCGGCCTGTCCGCACAGCAGTAGGTTCACCAGCTCCTGGCTGCAGTAGCCATGGGCGCCTGTCAGACAAGAGGATGGGTCATCCATTTCGCTTTGGACCTGGCGAGGCAAAAGATTCGTATTTGAAACAAGCAAAATGTAGTGAAGCCACGCAGTGTGTGTACTAGGGTGCTTCTACAAGTTTAGGCTGCGTGACCGGGAAGTTTGTCCGTGCAGTTGTTCTGTTTCATTACTCAGCCCTCGTGGGCATTGCAGGATCAACAAAACTATGCGCCCGTCTCCTATATACATGTAATTCTGTGGGAACCCTCATTTCAACATAAACCAATACTACCCACCACAAGCCTGAGGGGAAAAGCAAAATGTAACAGTGCCTCCAAGCTACGTGAATGCGTGTAAATGTGGCCCCTTATCCAATCGTCAGGCACAACAGTGATATGAAATAAGGTGTCCTGCTTTGATTTGGGCTTAGAATGATTGGAGAATGTGCATATTTTGAGATAACTGAACATGTGGTGGAATCAGGCACAAACACCAGCTTCTCTCAAACTGATCAATATTCTGTTGCATTAGACTTCAAATCTTCGACGCACACATGGCACTGATTCTATGCATTTCGTAAGCGAAGTCACTATTTTGATTTTGGTACGCCTAACGTCAAGTTGGCGTTAAGCTCAGTTCCCCCCCTCCTCAGCGTCAATCAATATTTCGATGCCAGGATGACTCAGCAACATTACCTAACGATGCCATACAACTTCAAAACGGTTTTAATCAAAAAGCAGCCAAAATTGCAGCGATTGCGGTGATTTGAAAAATGGGATGCCAAAAGCAATGATAGGCGATGAGAGCAGCCCACAATAAAATTGATCCATTCTAAGGACTGCATGGATGATTGAAATTTCGAGGGAAGTTTTACAACAAGTTCTGAGCTATTTGCCGCTGATCAGCGGCGTTTTGTTCATCTTCCCACCTTATTTTGGTTTTAGTGCAATGACGTAATCTCTTAGCGCCAACGGCTGGCCCCCGCCCTCTAACGTCAATTTGACGTTAAGAGTACCAAAATCAAAACAATGTCTTCCCTGAGAGATGCACAAGGGACAGCCAATGCTGCGATTTGTGCTGCTAGTTGGAACACTACGACTGCCCGTTTGTTTCGCTGTCGCTTTGAGAATGGGGAAGCAAACAAGTGCAATATTTAATCTTTGTGTAGTAACAGCATGCCAATGTTCAATGCTTGATGCAGAAACGCATACTTTGTACAATATAAGATGTGCCACAAGATGGTATTGAATACAAACACTGGACGCGAGTTCCCAATTGCAGCCAGGCGTCTATCTTTCTGAGAATTCTTCAATGTCAAAGACCGATACTTATTAGGCGCTTTCAGCACTTTGGCAAGGATGGCTCACCAGAAATCTAAATTCAATCAGCAGCTCCCCAGCTGCGTCGCGGTGAAAATGGCATCCGTACTCTGCACTATTTCCAGGGGGAAGGAGATCCACCTGCCCCTTTCGCCAATCCCAATGTGTTGTGAATTTATAACCGGAAGTGAATCATAGTAGACCGGCGACACAAGCAATTGCCAAGGCTGCTCCATCCCGCGGCCTTCTCACCTGCTTGATGCCTTTTGTGAGCAGCACAGAAAACAGAAACAGGACGATACCCCACCCCCCGCGCTCCATGTACTGCGGCATCCTGGACTCCAGGACTTCTCTGACGCTGATGTCGGACTGCACCCTCCAGCAGGTGGCCGAACGGAGAAGCTGCTGGTACGTCATCCCGGATGTGGAATCGTCGGGGCAGCCCACGATGATGGTCGCCCCGCCAGCGCGAACGAACGAAAGGATGGCCAGAAAGGATTCGAGGAGAGCGCACGGGGCGTCCCAGGAGGAGGCACCGAACGCCTCAAAGCCGTTCTGCAGCGCCGGGCATCAGAAAATTCCCTGATCACAGATGTTTGGCATGTTCGTTTGTTGGCTTGTTGCATGACGAGTGAGCAATGCAGCGAAACGACCCAATGGTTAAAAGGTTCGCACAGCTCTGAACAACAGGCAGTTCTAAGCGACTCCAAGTGTGCATGTACCCAGGAAGCAGATACCTGCCTATCTAAATTCAGTTTTGTTTCCTCTCATGACAGTATGGAGGGAGGAATCCATTCCCCAATTGATTTGAGGCGTGGCTAGGGGGGCTGAACGTATCAAACGATTGTATGCAATTACCTCCTTGGTGAATTGGCACTGTTCTCAAGTCCAAGGATTTACGGGCGATGGGCGTGGACTGGAATCCTGACGTGCCGGACAACACAACTGATGCGTGCGAAAGGCATGTTGTGGAGACGGGATAACTGCTTGAGCGATGATAACACCTGAGGCTGGCAGAATCCCTGCTGAAGCGGCACAATTGTATGAAGCGTAACCATTCTGTTGCTCTCGCACCTGGTTGTAACAAGTGGCGAGAATGTGTCCTTGGACGGCTGCAAGCGCACCGCAGGGGCCGCCCTGACTCTGCACAAGGCCGAACCCAAGGCCGGGAGTGCTGCTGAAGAAAAACCCTTGTTTCCAAGTGCATGGTGGATGGCCGCCCGGTCCCCACAGTATTCCCCGCACCGCTGCTATCTGCTCTGATGTCAGGAGCTCCAAGGTGCCGACGTCAGCCACACTGCGGCGCACATTTCTGGGTTTGGGAGCCAGCAGCGCTGAATCAATGCTGGCCTCATCGATGTCCTCCACATCCGTGGCGATCAGGTCAATCTGGTGCGATTGGTCGAGGATCAGCGTGGGAAAGGTGCTTTCATTGCGTGGAAGGTAGAGGACGGTGATGGGAGCCATCGATATCTCATACCTCCGGCATATTTTCCAACAGGCGTGCTGTTGTGTTTGCTTGTACCACTACACTCAATTCAATGCCGATGTCATATGCTGCTGACCAAAAGGCCACTTGAAACACGCTACAAAACTCCAGATAACGAGGCTTTCAACCACGTGAGTAGTTTGTGGTGGCCACACTCGCAACCAGTCTATTTGCCAGATCTCACTGCCAATTTGAATTTCCAAGCCTGGTGCGTCGATGTTGTTGCAGCAGCCGACACTAGGAAGAAAAGGGCCAAATAACACGTGTTCAAACGTGTACAAATTTTACGGGTTTGTGTTATTTTTGTGTTCTTATCGTGTAAAACTATGATGAAATGTGTTTTATGTGTGTTCGCAAAAGTGTTATTTGGCCCTTTTTTCCCTAGTGCGAGGCTTGGATTGGCAGCAAACCGGATGACAGGTGAGAACCTTGGTTCCAGGCGTATTGACGCTTGAGAGGTGGAGCGTATGATTGCACGTTCTAGCCTCCACTGCAGCTGTTGCGGTTATGGATGCATGGGCTTCGGTGCAGATGAACAACACTGGCAGGCGCGAACCACGAGACATGTGCCATCGCAGTCTCGATGTGTTTCCATACGTTGCTGCTGTTGCGCTCCGTTCTCCTGCTGTGTGGGCCCAAAGCGCTTGCGCTGGTCCACGTGGCCGGAGGGTCATCCAGGCGCAGTCGGTCAAAGTGCTTGGAAGCATGAATCGCACTTGGCTGTCCACCAAGCTTTCTATCCCTGGATGTCTCTCCCATCTTCAGCACGTCCAGGGCCGGCTGGCACCAGCCAACAGCCGCAGCGAGTCTCCCTGCACTTGTGCCATGTTTTCCGGAGCCCAGTCCACAGGAGTCAGTGGCACAAGCAGTTGACGGGTTGGAGTTTGAGAACTTGTGTTGACTCGGCTTGTCAGCCCACGATTCAGGTGCACTGATCCGCTCTGCTTTTCCATGCCTTGCAGCCTGCGAGGACATGCCAGCAAGAAGCCTGCTGGGCACACTGGAGAGTGGCTGTTCGTCAGATGCGAATCTGCTGTAGTCGTGATCATTTCTGGAGACTGGCGACTCCATTCTGCGATGGCCATAAGAGTTCCTTGCCAAGGTGCTTTCATGGTGCCCCAACATCGTGTGTGCTTTGATCTGCTGCCCAGACGAAAAGGAGTCACTCTGCCCTTTCTGCTCGTGGCATGTCATATGCTCACCCAGAGGATACGGACCAGAGCAAGAGTGGTCGTGGCTTGCTTCTCTATCTCGACGTCCATGCTCATCTCTCATCTCCGACCGCCCACTGCAGTATTGCACAGATCTCGCTGAAGGCATTTTGCAGCTGGCATTGATGTGGTATCGTGAATGCAACAGATCGTCACTGGAACTCAAGAAGCATGGCCTGTCCACTGAAGACGACATGCTGGCCTTGTTGCGGTCTTCATGTGCCCTGTGGGAGGCAGTGTCAACACCATTCTTCTGATCGATGGAATGGTGCAGTGCCTCAATGGTCCAGCTGTCCCTGCCTGATGGCTCTGCAGCAGCAGAACCTGCTGCAGCTCTGCCTTCAGCACGCTCACCACTCTTGGACTTAGATGATTTCTGTGGAGCTTGTCTTGCAGACTGCTGAGTCCAACGCAACTCAAATGTCAACTGGCGTAATGTCCCGGCATTGCATAAACTCAAATGAATTGCATGGTGACAGTGCATGTACAGTGCAGCACGCCTGTCATGTGTTATGTCAGATCACGAATACACACTACTCTGTTGTGCATTATGTGCTGTATGTCACATTCTCTATAAGAGCAGAGACAACTGTAAAGAGGAGCAGGGCGGTTTGGGAAAGTTCCAAAACCAAGTGTGTCACTGCACTGCTCATATCATCCATTTCGAAATGTACTGCATGAAAAGGGCCCGCAACTTCCCCCCGGGACAGTGTGGGTGTGGGAGGTTGGGTAGGGGCCCTGGCACACTTTGTTTCTGCAAGCTGGACTAATAGAACTCAATTCGAGTAGAAGGAGTAGCACCACCAGGCAGTCAAAGCACATCATCCCAGAACATTTTTACCCCGGAAGTGGGCGAATAATCTGCAGTATCTATTCACCTTGTTCAATTTGTGGTCCACCCACATGTCCAGAACAGATCGGGGGCCAGAGTCGCTGCTGCTGCTGTTGTGCGCCTGAGTCTTCTTGGCAAGCTGCTCTAGCCCCAGGGCCTTCCGCAAGGTTCCCCGCTTTGAAATCGAGCTGTCGGTCTTGGGCTGGGCATCCAGCAGCATAATGGTGTTCAGAAAACTGCGCTCACTGGTTACTTGTTGGTGAGGGTGGGTCCAACAAGGGCAACACTCCCAACTTGTCAGCAGATAAGGGGCCCCGAGCGCGACACAATGGCAAGAAGCGAAGTGCGGTTGTTTGCGTTCAGGTTGCCAACGAGTGTGAGCTACAACAAGTTGGGGTTGTCCGTTCAAAGCTGGAAAGGAATCGTTGTCAGTCCCGAACCGAGCTTCAACTTGCCGAGCCGCACCAATGTCCACATACACACAGGTTGCTTTCTCCCACTGGAGCGCGCTCCATACGAATGCAGGAGCTGCTGCGTGGCAGCATCAGATGCGAAATGCAGCGACCGTTACTTAAGGGCAGCTTCGGCAACGGCGTTCCTGGTGACGACTTTTGCAACACTGCGGGTATGCGGCAGCGGGTGATGAGCGCCAACATTTCTTGACCTCCACATACGGCTATCGTTCATCGCCGCGAGCACAAATCCCCTATCGTTAAGATACTTTGCGGACAGTGAGAACCCCTTACACCGCAGCCCGTCAGCCCCCTCAGGCTCCAGCCAGAGTGCGTTTGGTCACAAGGAGGCCATCCACGCGTTCCGCCCATAAGCTGAGCTCACATTTTCTTGGTTGAAGGTCTCCAGCGTCCTCGTGAGGCCCTTCGTCGACAGGTACTCGCGAATCAGGCCCTGCGAGCCAAAGGAAGGGCTCCTCAAGGAACAGCGCAAGCCTCCAAGCGGGGACTTTGGCGTGTGCCGCCGCCAGTGGCTACCTCCGTTATGTCTGTATTGCGCCGCTCCGCCATCTCGCACGCCCTTGGTCGGCTGGAATGGACGCCTCGGTCGCCTCGCGGCCCCGAAGGGCGACGGTCAGGATGCGGCTGTGCTCGGTGCACCCCCAATGGTTTGGTCCCGTTCGATTCAAACCAGATTGCTTTTCTACTTCCACAGGTTTTAGAACCCTTCAGCCTGGTAACGTAACGCTTGGCCTATTTTGCGGAGAAAACAATAAACTAAATAACGCCCTTCAAATAAAATTTTGGGGAGCAGCGTAAAAAATATAAAACAACGCTCTCAAAAACAAAATCCGCAGCAAAAAGCGCAGTGGTAAAATTTTCCGATGCGGAAGGGTTGAAAACCGTACAGTACTGTTGTTGTCATTTAAATTATGCATCTTTGGGAAATTGGACAGGATTGGATGTCTGCCAAGCGTGGCTGGGGACCTCACTCCTTGGGATGGGCCGAGTACACCACAGGCAATGCCGGAGAAGGGAGAGAACACAGCACCAGGTTGCACAATTTTGACAATTTTGGTTGGTGCACAAAACAGCTTGGAACACACATTCACAGCCCGCAACGAGTGCCCCGTGTCGATTGTAAGGTAGTACTGTTGAGTCGCGCTGACATCGATATCAGGATTGACGCTAAGAGGGGTTGGGGGAATAAGACTTACTACATTTCAAAAGACAAACAGGTCATACAAAGGGCACCCCCCCCTAAACAAGTTTGTCGGACCCTTTTCCATGCTGTGCGAAGATGCTAAGCCTGCCAAATCGACAGAGTGCGGCCCTCAGGAGTGAGAATAATTTGAAAACAACACGTGAAGAACCAGCGACTAAGACGTTTTCAAAATCTTTAGTCAAAGAGTGCTGCTAGCACATTTGCAGAGCTCTGTTCGACACCATGGCACGGAAGCTTGGCACACGTACGGTGCGGAACCTTGGATCTGGGCATGGTTCCAGAAGTGCACATCCTTGCCTTCAGCTCCTTTGTCGAAATCTGAATTCCAGCTGCAGGATGGAGTCTGGTTTTGATGGCTGATGGGCGTCAGTGTAAAGGCAGCATGTTGTTGAACCGAGCTCGCTGGGCGGTGGGCACATGGCACCATCCGCCAGGAGTGGTGCCCAGCTCTAGGGCGCCTGCGTGGTGCCTGGAAGGCATTGCATCAGAGCTAAAGTCCATGCCAGATTCCCCATGGTAGTGTTGGCCTGTGGCATGGTTTCTTTGCTGGTAGGAATTGTTTGACTCGTTCTGGCCAATCGAACCCTCAATAGCGCTTCTCCTGTGCCTTAGATAGGTGCGCCTAAATTGAGGCGCCTGTGCTTTCAACACCATGCAGATGTGGGCCCATTCAGCAGAGGATTCCTGCAGCTTTGTCCTCCAGCACTGGTGTCTTGCATGAATTGTGCGAATGCATTGACAAAAAGCAGCCCTGCAGGTGTGTGCCACAAACAATCTTCATGAACATGTGGGTGTGATGCTTACATTTGTTCATGAGTGTGCACATCTGCAGGTTGTGAAACTTCTCTACATTGCCCTACAGAAGAACTTGCCACTGTCCAATCAACTGAGCAGCTCTTTGTGTCTGCAAGCAGAGTAAGCCACACACTTCAGGTTGTGCACCACTTGGTGGACACTTCAGAGACTGACCGCACAATCCCTATGCTCTGATTCCCTGCCACATTTGCTTTGCATGTACTTGTGCTTACCTGAACGCAATTCAACATAATTCAATCCACAACCTTTCAGCTTTGGAAGCGTTTGGAGTACAAAGGGCCCATGCAACCTCCCTGTTGCAAGGCTGATCCGATACAGCCACACTACCTTTGCAGTCCATTGTTACATGTTTATTGCCTGCACCCAGATGGCCACCGTTGCAGAGATAGTTTGGCAGGCCATCATTAACCCAAGACAGGTAGCATTTACGGATTTGCGCAGGATTCATGAACACAGCATCAGGTGACCCTGGAAGCACGTTGCTGGCAAAATGTCAACAGGCGCATGATTACCCAACTGGCGATGATTGGCATGCAACCCAACAAGCTTCATGTTGACTACTTGATGCAACATGCTGGACAGCAAACTGTTGAATCGATTCCCAGCCCAGGGAAGTGCAGTAACATCCAGCTCGGGTATGTTCCTGAAACGTTCAGCTGTGTCCCCCACTGTTCTACCAAGTGCGATGGTTCCAGCTGAGGATGCCATGTGTGAGATGACACCCCAAGCAGCAGCGCAGGCACCAGTGCCGTTGTAGGACACCACACCGGCTGCTGACATAGCAGCACCTGCCTGCCCTGTGTTAAAACACAAAACAGGCGGGATCGTTGCTGCCAATGGGCACATTTGGGATGCCCCTTAGCAGGCACAGCAGCCACACATGCCAATGGGAGGGGAGTCACAAAGCAAATCGCATGCACCAACCAGATGAATTGAAGATCAAATTTCCCAGGTCAAGTATTGTTTGTTGTCGATGAGTTTGTCTGGCATTTACATGCTGGAGACGTCCGTCCACCCACTTTCCCAACCGAGCAGTCAGCCGTGCCCCCAGTGTGCCCCTTGGCTTCTCCAGCATCCAGTCCCAGCATCCCCATGTCCGCAACCAGCGACCCAGACGCGGACCCGTCCTCTGCCCGACATCCGCTGGTGCCTTCTGCCCCCCGCAAATCCCCCTGTCCCCCGCTCCGCGCCTCCAAAGCGTCCAAATCTCTTTCCTCGCCCGAAAAGCCCCAATCAGGTGCCTCAGCACCCTCCTGGGGGTCCCCCGCTGGGCCCTTTCCCTCAGATTCCCCTTCCTCCTCGTCGTTCCCTTCGTCTCCTTCGCCCCCTCCGTCTCCTTCGCCCCATCTGTCTCCTTCGCCCCCTTCGTCTCCTTCGTCTCCTTCGTCCCCTGACTCCGACCCGGACTCAGGAAAGTCATAACACGGCGCATCATACTCAGCCGTCCGCATGGACTCCAACACATCGCCCTGCGCCTCGATCACCTCCTGGCTCGTCTCGCATGCCGCGTACCGCTCCAGCAAGCCCCCGTTGAGCTCCATGAACGCGCGCCCCCACTTGAACCGCGCCATCACGTCCCCGGCCATCTCCCCGAATCCGCAGATCGCCAGGGCGCCCGCCAGGGCCTCCGCACAGGACAGCCGGCAGGGCTTGCCGTAATTCACTGGATTGGCCGCCACCAGGTAGGGCAGCAATCGCGGCGCCGCGCCGCGCGTCTGGCCAAAGGGCACTTCATCCAGCCTCTTCCACGAGCAGTCCACAACCGCCACGCCCTTGGCCTTCACGATCCATGCGTCTTCCCGCGACACGCATCGCTGGGCAGCAGGCGTGAGCACCAGGCCGGGGAACCTCTCCCCCAGGCGCAGGGTCCTGACCAGGCCCTGGACGGCCAATCGGCATCCGGTGCATTTCTTTCGGTCGCACTGCTTCAGGTCCCACATCGCCAGGCGCACGGGGCGGTCGGCCCCCGGCCGGGGATCGCGCATCCCGCGTTCCGGCGGGTCCAAAAGGTGGGAATTGTCCTCGGGGTCGCATGATCGCCTGGGGGGCCGCCTGCCGGGCCGCCTGCCTCCGCGCCGGCCGCCCTTAGGCATTTTGGCGCGCCTGAGCCGCGACGAGCACGATGGGCCGCGGCGGCGAGAACGCACAGGCCTCCAACCCTGAAGGAGAAGGACACAAGAGGGATTTGCAATGTACCCATACACTGGCAAGAGCTCCCGATCGCGGAAACAGACGATGCTCCCAACCTGGGAGCCCCAAGAACAAGGAAATACAAGGAAATAACCTTTTTGCATCAGAAACTTTGGCGTTACTATTTTGGCTCCGCATTTTTTCGACAGGCCCTCACTTGGGGGCTCCGCATCGTGGCCACAGCCGGAATGGCGACTCCGTCGAGTTTGCATGGCCTCAAAAGCCGATTTTCCGCCACAGGGACTCATGTGCATATGGGGCCTCTAGACGATAGGAGCAGTACAGAGACTCTCGCGATGAGGTTGGCGTTGCGTTGAGCCAAACGTGGCGTCACTATGAGGAAGGGCTGAGTATTTTGCGGCAGCGGTGACGCACACTGGACACACCCGTCGTGCTCAAGCACATCCATGTTACTGACGTGCAACGTTTCCAGGCTCCCTGGCGCCTGGCGCAACCTTGCAGATGCTGTTTGCTGCATTGCTGGCACGGCTGCGGCCGGCGTGCGCCACACCGGAGCGAGGTGCTGTGCACCAAGCCGACTCCTGGCTGACGCGCCGTGCAGACCAACAAGCCCCCGCACTCGAGATCGCACTGTTCGCGAACAATGGGAGTGCTCGAGGCGGGGGCTCTGACACTGCACACAGAAAGGCAAACACTCGTCGTTCAGGCAGACGACGGCGCAGCGCACAGGACGGTTCATCAGCGCTCGCATACAGGCGCCCCGGACAGCGCAACGCGCAAATGATACGCTGGCGCCTCGCACCATCGAAAGCGCCGCTGCCCCAAGCAGGCCGGGCCCGTGAAGAGGGTCAAGGGGTTGATCCACAGACTGCGGGGCAAAAATTTTGCCCGCGAGTGGCGCCCGCCGCGGGGTGGCGCCGGAAACTCCTGGGCTGGAGACAACGCGCACGAGTTCAACGTGGAGCTCAGCGAATTGCATTTCGTCCAACACGCCCGATCTTTACACATGTCGGGCATTTCGTCTCCTGCATGCCCGATCCTTGTAGAGATCGGGTGTTTGTTTCGACAAGGCCGATTTCCATGGAGATCGGCCCTGCTGGGGACGCTGGCCAGCGGCGAGGATGGCTCTCGCGCTGGTCGGCCGGGTTGGTGTCTCGCCAGGGCGGGCTGGGTGGCTGCTCCCGCCCGTGGGTGTCTCGCCACGAGGCAAAAGACGCACGAGAGTCTCGTGCGTGTGTTCTGGGGGCGGCCAACTGGGATGTGATGGTTGCATCCAGGTTGGCTGCCCTGCCGTGGCGACCAGCATCGAGAACGGGGACGGGGCCCAGGACGGTTGCGAAACGGACCGATCCAACTTGGGCCCAAAGGTCCGTTCGGGTGGTGGAGGGAGGTAAAAGTCGGGATCGGAGATCGAGGCTCGGGGCACACAAGACCCAGGGCCGCGGATCGTCCTCGTGCGGGGCAATCAACTTCCACCGAACTTCTGCGGGCCAATCATTGACCGCCCCTCAGCGCCGAACCTGGAAAGCCACTGCCTTTATATACTGGCGTCCGCAATTGTACGTCCTAATCATCAGTCACCAGAACGGGAAAGGGAACGTCTTCATGCACTGACGTGCGCAGTTCGCAGTGCAAGGGGCGCTAATCGCGCGAGGGATTGGGTGAGGGTTGGGCGGAGGCGTGAGGAGGGTGCTCTCCGGGAGGCGGTTGGCGCGAGGGGTGGGGCCGGGTGGATTGCAGCGGAGGCTTTGGCGGCGCGGTGGAGTGCATGGGGCGGATGCGGCGGTTCGCTGTGCTCTGCGCGGTGGCCTTGTCGGCACTGTGTTGGGGCGGCGCCACGGCGACGAGGGTCGGATGGGAAGGTGTGTCCCGTGGGATTGTGACCTTGCGCGGGCTGGGTGGGGGGGTAGGAGCCGAGAATCGGCGAGGGGCGACGCGCAGCGTTGCCGATCGGCCCGTGGCCAGGCGGATGACGCCGGCGCCATTGTGGATAGGGCGATGGGAATTGGGGCGGCAGACTGGATTGATAATCATGCCGTCGGCCGCTTTCGTTCGCGTTTGGTCGGTGGATCGGGTGCCACTGCAGCGTGGCTTGCCGGCGGATCGAGTTTTGTTGGGGTAAGGTTCGTGCTGGTATCGGGCAGAGCGCGGGATCTTGCCGCCACATCATCCCGCGGCGCGACGGTTTCAGGGGAGCGGTGGCGTTTCGCGGATACGGCGCGTCGTTGGCGTCCATTGAATTTGGGAGGGACCTACGATTTCGGTCCCACCCCATTCAGCGCTGACTGCCGCGGTGTGGAGGGCATCGCGGGTACCCCAACGTTGCCCTGGCCCGTTGGCGGCCATTGCATAGGTCTGGGATGCAGTCGACCTTTCGTGGCGTAGATTTCTGATAACGACGCCGTTCAGACAATGATCTGGAAGGCTACCGCGGCTACGGGTGCGATGGGCCTGAACCCGAAACCCAGACTAAAATTAGTTCAGGCCGTATAGTCGATGCCCTCATAAACAGTCAATCGTCTGACCCAGGGCTTTCGTCGAGCAGCGCTGAGCGGCAGGCTGAAGCGTCGCCTCTGGCTACGCGGCACTCCCCGCTTGTGGCGCTGGACTGCCTGAGCGCGAGAGCATGTGCTTGAGTTGCTGCGCAAACGCGAATCAGGACTTGGGTTCTTTTCTTTCCGTAGGCATGCCTCCGTTTGTGTTCGCGGCTCACAGCGCCTTGCTGCGGATCGCGTTCAGTGAATCAGGCGCGTGGGTGCCCTGAGCTGCATCCGTGGCCCTGGAAGCGCCTGTCGCTTTGACGATCAATGGAAAAACACAATAGCGCCTGCAGTGTTTTCCATGCTTCGGACGACGCGCAGGGGTCTACACGTCGCCGGGACCTTAAGCAACCGGAAACGATGCACGAAGGGAGCAGCCGTAGAGGACGGCCGTGGCCCTGCGGTCATCCAAAAAGCGCTGCTCGCTGGGTTACCGGTGCAATTAGACGTGCAAAGTAGTTGGCTGTCAGTAATGTTGGGCTGTCGTGCAGGCTTGCTGTCAAACTCTGAGGACGTTCCCCGATTGGTTCGAATTTGTCTTGTGCAGGGAATACTGGCTGTTTCCTGGCGTTGGACTTTGGACTGTTTGCCATAACGACTGTACAGACGACGCTGCAGGACTGAGCAACTCGGTTGAATGTGATCGGGAGGGCTGTTTAACCTTGGGCACTTGGTGGATCTTCCTAAGCTAAGCCTTTCAACACTGGCACAAGGAATCTGCTTGGCCTGGAATTCATGCCCAACATCGCCTCTAACGTGCAAGGGCAGTGTTTTGTCATGTTTATGTGACAAATGTAGTCAAAGGATTTTAGGCACAGGGAGGCTGCAGTTGCTCGCAGTGAATGCTGTGGTTGCTGATATTGGCTTGCTTGGTCCAACAGGCCGAGAGGAAAACAGTCCGGGCATGAAATTGCGGGATTTGAGGCTGTTGATGGATTCCCCAAACACAGCGGATGAACAAGTGAGTGCTGCTCTTCGTCATTTGCCTATGCCTTGGGAAGGATGAATGACCGTTGAGGGGGAGAGCGAAGCATCACAAATGTTTTGCATGTCTTTGAACTCTCTTGAATTCTCAGGAGTTGTTGTCTGTGCACATTGATGGCAGTTTCCATGGTCTGTGGCTTTGTGGAGGTAGCTAGCTGTGAAACAGCCTGCCCTTGCTCACTCCCTCTGTGCATCCATTGTTCATGCAGGCCCTCATTATGGCAGCCACGGATGGTGACTTTGAGGAAGTGGAGAGACTGCTCAACGAAGGGGTGGATATAGAAGTGAGGACGGCACGCGACTCTACGCCCTTGATGCTGGCAGCTTTTATGGGGCACTTGGAAATCGTTGAGTTGCTCATAGATGAGGGTGCAAGGATCAACAGCACTGATATTGATGAAAGGACCCCCCTGCACTATGCTTCCCAGAAAAACCACACAACCGTGGTGCAAGTCCTGCTTGAACATGGAGCAGACCTGAACAGCCAAGGCACCAAGATGTCTACGCCTCTCTTTGTTGCTGCACAGTCGGATGCGACTGGAGCTCTGGACTACTTGCTTCAGATGGATGGTATCGAGGTGGACCTTGACAACTTCCAGGGTTGGACGCCGCTGATTGCGGCAGCAGACATGGGACATGAGGCATCTGTTCAGCGCCTATTGGATGCAGAAGCTGACCCCACAGTGGCCACGAATTTAAGGGCAACAGCTTTGCACCGTGCAGCTTTGACCTTGGAAGGCAACAGAGTTCTGCCTCTTCTGATCGACAGAGGTGTTGAAGTTAATGCTTTGGATAATGCCAATGATACGCCACTGGAGTATGCTACATGGGCTGGAAACACGCCTGCCGTTCAGATTTTGTTGAACGCTGGAGCAAACACAAGCATTCCTAACCGAAATGGTAATTTGCCAGCGGATGCACTGTGCTTGTGCCTGGCATCACAGAGATGTGCTACACCATGTGATACCATAACGAACAACACAATCATGGCCTTGCTGGATGGGGAGATGCCAGAACTCCGCTCACCAACACCCTTTTCGCCAACAGATCCAGAGGAGACGCCAGAGGTGGGTATGCTGGTTGCCTTTGTTGAGCTGTTGTGTAACATGCTGCATCCCCTGTTGCTGCACATGCCTGCATATGGTTTTGCATGTTTGAGCATCGCTGTAGCCGAAACGGTCACGGATTTGATGCCATCTGCTGTCACTTGTGTGGACATGTTGAAGAAATGTGGGTGATGCAGCACTCAAAGGTCCAAAGGTGTGCTTATGATTTACCCACGTCGCGTGGAAATTGCGCTCTTTGTGACGCAGATTGTTATGAAACCGACAACGTCAAAACGTCATTTGCTATCACAGACCATATTTTGGACTTGATCTCTTACCTGGTGGATGGGAGAGTAGTGTTTGCAGGCTGAGCGATAGACGGCAGCATTGTGTGCTCCACATCTTTCTGCCATTGTATTGTTGAGTTATTTACTGATTGTTTTCCATGCTGTCAGCTTCACAGTGCTCCTGATTGGGTTCTCGTGCAAGTAGACGATAAAAGATTGCCAAGATTGGCAATTGGGCAATTGGGTTGTGCTGTCAGCATCGTCAACAGATTCCATGGCACTGTTTTAAGACTATGACCATAGGTGTTGCCAAAAGACGTATGCACACAGCGTGCAACATATGTGCAACCAACTGTACTTCCCGACCAGTAAAATACGTGGTCAAATCATTCAGCTTGCCCTGTTGCCTGGGAATGCAGACTGGCTGCAAAAGTATGGTGTTCCTTGCATGTGCCAGTTTATGTACAGTGGGTTTCTCCAGAGGGAGTTTTGTGCGGTATTGGACATGATGATGGTGGTGCTCAGTGGGAACTGTGGTGTTGCAAACTACATCTTTTGTCGAGCTGCATCTGTTTTGCCTCAGCCCTAGGAGACATCGTTTGGTCACAACCAGGGAACAGACACCACAGCTGCTTTCCCTGACCAGCCCCTGAGGGCATCATCTGTGCTGCTCAAGCTTCCTCTGAAGCTTGGCCAGACCACTACAAGGCACCCTCACATTGTCGCCATCTTTTGATGCAGATCCCTCCCTTCGGTGTCAGGAGGGAGTCGCCCCAAGCAGTGGCAGCAGGCGAAGAGATGGAAGGGGCAGGAACGGCATTGTCGCCACTGTGGGCGACTGTCTGTTTGTCGCTCGTCGTGGGCTTGGTGTCTTTGCTGGAGCTGTGCTGATGGAATATGGGTGGGCAAGTGGGTGGGTGACGGTAGTGGTGGTGGAGAGGGGGGTTCAAGCTGGGTGTTGCTTATTTAACCCAAAGGAGCATATTGACGAGGAAGCCACAATGGGTTTATGCTTCCAAATTGTGAGGGGGTCAAGTTGTCGTGGTGGCTATTTAACCCTAAGGAGCATATGGACGAGGAAGCCATAACGGTTTTATGCTTCCAAATTCTGAGGGCTGCGAGGGCTGCAGAATTGTCTGTGGGTGCATGAGCCAAGCCTGTGATGGTGCACATGTCTTCAAAGGAGCATAAGTACAGAGGAGCCGTCTGCCGTTGGCAGTTCGGGAATGCTTCTGCTGCACAGTTGTCTATGGATGCTTAAGCCACACACATCGTGCGCCCATTGGGTTGTAGTTGTATCGCGTTTGTTTCGTGTGGTCGTGACTGTATTTTTGCAGACTTGAACGTTCATGGGCAATGCTTGCTTTGGCTGGTTGATGCTGTGCATGAATGTGCGTTAGTCTGGGGAATTGGGACCTGATGGAATGGATTTGATTGCTGCAATGCTTTGGATTCTCAATGGACAATCATCAACCGCTGTTTCCCTCGGGAAAAGTAGGTAGCTTACGGCTACCTCTTGGCCTCCATCTGTAACATTGCTTCGGCTAACACTATCGCTGGGATGGACACCAGTGTTGGCTAGAATGCATGATAGCGCGGTTCCACCAGTCCCACAGACGGGTACGTGGACTCCATGCCGCCAACAGGCACAGGCATGCGTTACTGCGTCACGTTGGAGGTGTGGATAGATTGGTGGGACGAACACAGGAAATTCTGTGTGTCTGTTCCATCTATCCTCCCTGGAATCCACAGCTTGAAACCCATGGCAGAGTGAAGGAAAACCGATGGCTATCTTTTTTGAGGCCGTGAATTGCTGCTCGAGACTGCCGATTGAATGGCAAAGCGGCCCTTGGAGTGGTCACGCGATACGTAGTTTCCATGGAGGCACTCAAAAGAAACAATTGGTCGGAACAACAAGCCAAGTGATTCTCCCAACATTTGTCTCTTCTCATTTGTCTACAAATCAATCCGCCAGCATGGCTTAAAGGCATGTGCCCATATAAACGCAGTTGTCGCATAGGCCACTACCTCTCGATCCTTGACAGGGTGGTGTGTCACGCAGCCAGTTTTTCCATGTCACGCGAAACTTTCCAACCACCAGCCCATGCACAAATGACAGCGCTAGACCATGCAAAAGCAATTCTCAGCATTTCCCCACCGCTACCACAGCTACCCCGCTATACACCATGCCACTTGTCAATGCCTCTAAACGTGCTGGGGCACTTTGTTGCTCAGTGAGGAAATGTGCCTCATCCCTTACATAAGACAATGAGAATAGAGCCCAGGTCAAACAAAAATTGAGTCAGCTGTGTGCCATGCACAAGGCCCAGCCATTACAGGCGTCCGAAGGTGTCTGGTAGCCACTTCTTGCACCTTATATTTGCTTCAGCCCCGTTTCACAGTATATGGGTGCCGGCATCTCGTCCGTGCTCTTGACGACCTCTGAGATCTCCGCCTCCTTACAAACAGCAAGGGCCTTTTTCTCTGCCTCTTCATCTCCGCCGACTGCAGCACACATTCAACAATCAGTATGTACGAAGTAGCGAACGATGTGGTGATATGAAGAAATGGACTGAGTTCCCATCATCTGTGATGGTACACCGCACTGATGGTGAACTGCCCGCTGGGAGGTTGTTTGATACGCGCATGTGTGTCTCTGAAGGAGGGGAAGGGAGGGCGCGGCATGGCAGGCTTTGTGCCGCATGCATTGTCGCGTTCATACACTGCAGGTGCAGTGTCACTGTCTTCTGCAGACGAGCGGCAAGATCCGCTACTCTGCATCCACAGGAATGACACAAAGACAGAACACGAGGAAAGCCGATGCTTTTCCAGCAGGATTCGTCAAAATATGACAAACCACTGCACCGGAATATCCACTGAGATGGCAGGCATATCTCCATCTGCAATGTCTGTCCCAGATGGTCATCCTCATAAACCCAACAAATCCAGAAGAAAATGAGAACAATCAAAAGTCTACAGTTGGGGACAGCAACAAGGGCGCAAGAGAAAAGAGGAAGCACACGCAAGCTCAGCAGCTTTGATTGCCTTGATCAAGGCAAGGCAAAACAATGCAGTGTAATTTAAAGCAAATAAAATACGGTGTAAGGCATGGCAATGGTGGGCGACAGCGACGTGTAAGCGCTGGGAGGCGAGTGAAGGTCAAAGGAAGCTTCAAGGCCGGTTCTCCGGGCATCTTGTCGAAGAACAACAGATTCCGTACATCCAGTACTTTCCCATCGCCTCTTGCCAGGTCAGGTTCACGTGCGGGTGATGTCGCGGGACCTGACTGCACTTCGTTGCCAGCTGACAACGAAGAAGCTGTGTTGTGAAGAAGGGTCTTGGGTTCTACTGTACAGAGCTGGGACGATACGACAATCTGTTCGGAATTTTTGAGACATGGCAACATGAATGAAGGCAGTTGCACCAACTGTCCAGAGGCGCGCTGGGCCCAGGATAGCCGGCCCAGGACCGCCATTTGGAATGGAAACTGGACTTTGGCGTGATCGCTCTTGCTATCAACTTAGTCAGCACAGTGCCACATCAAGCGATGCCCTTGCTGCACACCTGCCACCTGGGCAATCAGTGCATGTGAGCCATGTAGCCCAGACGACTGCAGTCATCAGAGTCCCAGCTCGCAGCCACAGTTGGCTGGCGAAGTTACTTATCACAAGTCTTAGTGCAAATCACTCGCAGTTGCATGGCACATGTGTTACACATTCCAACACATATTCCCTCAAGCTGGGTGCATGTTCACAGCAGGCACAGCGCCACAAGAAGCAACCAAACGCCAAGTACGTATGCTGATAACAGTAAGTGTGCTATTATAGGAGTGTAACAGGAGCAGCAATATTTGTACTCTGCTGCCATTATGTAGCCACAATTATGCAAGAGGGGCAACCATGGGCCAGGGATATGCCAGGACAAAAGACGCTCACTGTTACATGGGTGCACATGGGTCTGTTGTAAGGGTCAGGTGTTTTGTGGCACTAACCTAATATGACCGCTGCTGTCAGCTCCGGTTCGTAGACAAGCGTGTCGTCATCATCAAAGGCCTCTTGGAAAGTGCCTGTGGTGGTTATGACCTTGCAACCCATCTTCTCCCACTTTTCAAACATGTCTTGGAAGGCCAGGCTGTCCTGATTGGGTGCCTGGGGAAGCGACCAAAATCACATTTGGGACCAGCCATTTTGATTGTATGCAGTGGCCAACATCGCCTATTGGGTAAACAGATTAGCAGTTTGTCGAAGTTTGAGATACAACGATCACCACAATGCATGTACGCAACATGCAGTAATATGCAAGTTGTGTAATCTAAATGAGAAACAAATCATTTCGAGGAATCCCGCCAAGCTCTCCTCCATAGGCGCTGGTGAATCATGTGTGAGGCAGCAAAAGTGCAAGACCGCGCAGCCGTGCTAGACTGCCATCACATCCGTTCACAGAACGCAGTGTATCACCACACATGGTGCCTTAGATTAAGCGAGTCCAATGCTGCTAATATGCAAATCTGCTCTCTGGGAAACAAAGTCAGAAAAGCAGTCTAGCTGAGTTTGTGACCAACAGTCCAAAACCAAACAACGTGCAACCAGCCAATTGAGTGTTGCACAAAAGTTAAGGGAATGTTTGCTCAAGTCCTGATCACGTCACCTTGTAGTATAGCCTGGCATCTGTTCGGTAGGGCAGGTTCAGACTGACGACATCTGAGGGGCACTCAATGAGTGCCTTGGCTGTTGCGATCCCTTCTCCTTCACAAAAGATCACAATCTGCAGTCGCATCCCAAATAAGCAAATTGTGAGAAACACAGACACAACCAAACACACTTTTCAGAAGAAACATTCTCCTCTTGTGCACAGCGTTGGCATACCCAATGAATGAAAGGTAAGCGCCCATCATGCTTTGATACTCATAGTCAGCAGGGGTCTGTGTTATGACAGAGCCACTCCCATCTCCCTCACAGGATCTGGCAGTTTTTTTGGGTTTTTTCCCTCTTCATTTTATGGCTCAATTCCAGTAATTCTGGCTGCTTCTTAGCAAGCAGAAATATGCACCTCGTTGGGCATTGACACAAGTACAAGCACCACACGGCATAGTCCAATTGGTGAAGAGTGGAGCTTGCCACTGTATGATTATGGTTGTCAGTGAGAATGTGTGCTATCGCTGAGCCAGCAAGTCACAATCCAGCTCTGCAAACTCAGAGTGCTTCAACCATAGCTCTGACAGTCTAGCAGACTGCAGCGCTCAGGACCATCAGGGCATGGACCAAGCTTTAAGGAAACAGCGGTGCACATCAGCCAGGAAGATCACTTAGTTCAGTGGCAACATGTGCTGTGGCAGCCAAAGCAAGATTTCCCCCCCCCCTCCCCCCTCTCCCACCCCCCTTGGCTGCTCCCCATTCTTGTCTGTGATGACAAGAATAAGTCGAATTCAGAGAAAAAAAAGCAAAGTTGTAGAGCAAACCCCTTGCCAGCAGCAACTTGCGAATTCCGCATATGGCAGTGTGTTCTGTTGCCTGCCTACCCTCATCAGCATTCTGTTCATAAAGATTGTCTGTTCATATGAAACTCCAACAATATTGGTCGCAGCGACTTGGCTACGGCGATATACAGCAGCAGCATGTTCACATTAGAACAATGTTGCCTCTGTGTGCTGACATTCCCACCGTAGGGTATCTGTAGATGCCGGCTATGTCGCCTCGGAGGTTAATTCCCTCCCCCACAAACGGCCCCACTTCAACTTCAACGCCTTCCACCAGGTTGTACACATCTGGAGCCTCTTCTTCAGTCACTAAAACTTCAAGCTCGGTCTGCACCACATGTATGAAGGATCGCCTTACAAACAATTTGATGCTGTGTGAAGAAATCAACAAGCAAACAACAACTAATTTCCAGGCAACTTTGACATCGGCTTGTGATAATTGCATGCCAAACACACCATCCAATGGATCACCATCCTTGTGGAGAACTGGGTGTACAGGTTACTGAATTGCATTCACCATTTTTTGGGATTGACAAAGTACCTGTAACCAGATGACTGTCGCTGAAGGAGCACAACCGATTCCTATGTGCAATGAACATCAGGATGTAGATATTCCACACCAATCTTGGCGCTAGGGGTGTGGTGAATTCAGGGAAACTGTTGGGTTCACTTGCCTTAACAAGAAGGTCCTCCTTAACGAATTTGATCTCGCCAGCAAAAAGGTCACCTCTCACACTAAACAGTGGCAACTTGTTCAGCTGCTGACTGTAGGGCGAGTTCGCCACTGCACACACATAGTGGTGGAAGCACAAGAAGTTCAACACATCACTCAATAGCAGACAAAAAGAGGACTAGCCATTGGAGGGGTGATACAAGAGAATTGCACAATGTTTTATCCATCTTTGCACCCACACATTGTGCATGGTGCCTGCTTATGTACATTCTGCCTCCCAGGCCTGGCCACTATCAGCAGTGCCTTTTGTTCCACGATGCACTGGAAATTTATTGCACAACTTTGTTTTGCCCCTTGGCTGAGCCTGTAATGTTCCCAGAATGCAGGTGAAATTCAAATTCACAGTTTCATCCGAATGGCACGCCAGAACCAGGCAGCATCGTCACACGTTGATTGTTTCCAGAATAAAAAGAGCAAGACACCTCACACTGTTGCTGGACAGTGCCATGGAGTATGCTATGAAACAACAGAAGCCCAGATGACACCAGCGCTGCAGGACATGCACTTGACAAAATCGCAAGCATTTCACACTTCATACTAGCAGCTGCCTACAGGAAGCAAAGCATGACCCTGCACACCAAATTTCAGAGCATTGTTACTAGAACAAAAGGACAAACTATATTTCGGCAACAATAAGGACTGCTCATGTCTGTCATAATTCAGCAAATTTAGTGACACAGATTGGCTCCAGCGCACCTGTCACAATGTTTTCTAAGCCATTGACCCTCAAGTTTGCAGTTTGGCCAACGTGCTTGTAGGCATTCCTCAGGGCGATCTTCTCACGTGATATTTCGATCTCCAACACGACAAGGCGCATCGTGGGGGTGACCTGTTGTGACCTGATGAACGTTGCCTTGTTCCACTCAGGCTGATCTACAGCTGCCCACCTTGCCTCGTACCACCCCTCACGACCTTTGATTTGCATCAGGTCCTGTGGACAAGTGAAAATAGGTCGAGGAGTATTGCGGGCATGTTGCCTTGGCGCCTGGGATGTACTGTTGTGGTTAGAGGAAAGCCCTGTTCGAATCTAAGTTCAGGCACTAGCATGAAGCATGAAATGCAATGGGTGGGATGTGGTAGGACAGTAAGCAGAGGTGCTTCTGGGGGGAAACAAGTGCAGGAAGGATACCACGCTCTCTAGAGCTAAACTACCGCTACGGATGCTTTCCTGTACTGTAAATCAGAACTTCGAATATGAATGCAGCAGTGGGAATGTCCAGCACCGGTTCTGCAGTCATGGATCACATCCCAGCAATATTCGCACATCATGGAGAACACATATTGAACAGAGAAGAGAAAAAGAAAAAGAACAGTTTCTGGGACTTGCAGCGTGACGCACATCTTCATCAATTTCGACGGGGAGCGCCACAGGCCCAGACCGATGAACAGCTGCATGGACACAATGACTCCTAGTCAGTGAAATTGCAATTTGGTCAATCCCTTGTTTGCAGTTGTCAGATGCAACTCAACACTCCATTTTCCCTCTTGCGGCTAGGCCTGGAAAGGTGGCACCTGTGTGGTGGGATAACCGAAAATTCCCAACCAGAATTCACTGGACACACCACATACCTACTGTGCAGATGTGTCAACTGACTGCTTGCATTCAGTCATAATGGTGGTGCCCCATAGCTGTCATGGGAGGCTGCCACAAGTGGAAGGAACTTTCTTGCAGCACTGCTGCCACTAATTTTGACTCCAGGTGGGAGAATTTAATTCAGAAACATGGAAAAATGACCAGCGCACACAAAAGGTAACAGTTCCCATTAGCTGTCACCAGTCCTGCATTGGCACAGGCTGCAGAAGCAGCTGGCAGCCACAGAGGCAGAGCTGCAGTGTTCACAGGCTACACAGGCAAAGTTTCTTGACAGAAGGGACCCCATTGGAAACAGCTAGTGTTTGCATCTGACACCTGCATGGCTATCATGTGCGAAGGAGGCACCCAGTTGGCTGGGTGAGGGTGGTGGGTACCTGTGACGACTTGTTGCTGGCGAGTTGATGGCAGCCTGTGTCGAAACCAACAGGGGCAATCAACAAAGCATTGTTAGCTTCTACAAGCTCGTTCAGATATGCCAGAAGCCAATGGCCTAGCTCAACCCAGACCTTCCAGAATGTTCCTGCACACTGGCGAAACGTGGGCACTCTCGCCAATTTGCTGGCATGTTCTGGATTCTGGCTTGCTGAAATTTGAATTTTGTTGAAGGATGGACTATGATGCACAAAACCATGGCATTGGCACTGGTTGACTCTCGCTGTTAAAGGTGTTGTCTTTCGATGCTTCTGTCCCTATACCCAATAGGAGAGCGAGCAGGACAGTACTGTCTTGGCTAGGACAGGAAGCAACTCAAGTGTGGCAGCATTTCACAATCTACTGTGCCAATAGCACAATTGCCAGAAAACACATGCACAACGTATGCTGAAACAACAGACGGAGGTGCAGAAAGTTTCATGTATAGACATCTTTCCACCAGTCCACAACCAATCGAGTGCATAACAGGCCGCCTTCACGTAATCAGTGTCTTCCATTTCAGGAAGCTAGCCAATTCGCCATCACCGTGGTGCCGATGTGAACAGCGTTGTGCACCCTCTGCTGGAAGAACGCTGCTAGTCTCTACACACTGCTAAGCTAACAAATTGCACCAGTGTAAGGTGACGTGTGATCTGCTCAATGCGGTCAACCCCGGGTGGCAGCAGGGCATTACACAGGACATTATTCCGTGTGCTGTGCCAGCACCATTTGCACTCTAGATATTTCCACTGGACTTCGCTGTTGGGCTCTGAAAGACAAAACATACAGCACAATTGTGCTTCTAGAAGGGGGAATTTAATCAACTCGGATGCATGCACACGTTCTTTCAAGAGCATGAAGAATGACCCAGTCAGGAGAACTGGGCAGAAAATGGACAGAGTCGCTGCACTGGGAGCATAAATGCCGCACAGAAGCCATGGCAATGGCAACGACGACGATTTCATAACGGCACATCAGTGCCACGTGGCGCACCCGTCTCCGATGATCGCCCCACCGCGGGAGGACGTCCGACGTTGCCCAATGGCGCGCTCTATTACTTTTTTTGGACAAAGGCGACCGCTGGATTGACTCTCAAACACCCCGCGCAAGGCGTCTCGCCCCGCTGCTTGTCCGTCTGCCCCAAAACACTTCTGCAGCATTCCTGTGCTATGCTGTTCTGTTTCACGGTGGTTTGCTGTGGGATGCGACGCTCATTGCAGCACAAACTTCCCTCTTTGTCAAAACGGCAACTCCCACCGGCGCAGGACGCCACTCAACGCAGTCGGCGCCCCCAAGTGCCCCCAGCAATCCACCCGAGACAAACCAAACACACCCCGTCGCGGCGTGCTCACCCCTGAGACCTGGCCACGCCCCTCACGCCGGCGCTTCCAGCAAGAACACACCGCTGCGAAGCAACGCCGGCACCCAACGCGGGTCAGCCCACATGGAACATCAAACGCCAAAAAGCGTTGCATCCGTGTTATTGCGGACAGGACGCTCCAACTATGTGTGTCAAGCCAAGTTTGCGTGACAATTCAGTCGGCGCTGGCCCCAACAGGCCACTGCAGCGATCCACGATGGCATCACGGCGTCCACGGCGTTCACCTCGACAGCGGTGCCCTGGTTGACTTGGGCGTTGGCCTGCATTTCTGCCAACGGGGTTGCTGGGGAGTTGGGAGAGCTGGCGACCGCGTGCTGGCGGAGGGGCGAGTTGCCTTTCCGGTCTGCAGGCGGCGCCAGCGGAAAGTGGTTGGGTGGGACCCGCGCTTTTTGGGGCCCTAAGTCCCGGGCGAAATCTTCTGGGTGGGGGTGAGTATCGAGATTCGAGGAGGGGACAAACGGGAGCGAATGCACAATGGGGCTCAAGCACTGAGCAAAGAGAACCATGGCGGTGCACACACGCCACATTTCCCCGCTGGAGGGACTCTGGAACAGTCATCGCACTATCTGGGCAGAAGGCCAGTGCTCTTCGTGCCCACTGCAAGGGCCGATCATCGCAAAACTGAACTGTTCATGAAATTGCTGCGCCGGTAGAGTTCGCTGCACTTGCCAGTCGTATTGACCATTCTGTACCCATACCGTGGGCTTTTAAGCCCTTCTGCATTAAAAAATTTCACAGTAACGCTTTTTGCTCTGCATTTTGCTTTCATAACATTATTTTTACGTTGCTCTGCAAGAATTTGATCAAAAGAGGGTTATTTATTTTGTTGTTTTCTCGGTAGGAAGTGGCCAAGGGCTACGACACTATGCAGAAGCGTCTAAAAACCTACGGTATTTGATCAATCAAACAGCCAGCAACCTGACTTGAGATACGTGTGGGCGGCCTGTCCGTTGAGTGGTGACGTTATTAATGGATGGTTTCAACCCATCAATAGGCTTTTCTTAACATATATGAATCTGTGAATTCGTTCAACATTGAGTCAGTTGATCTTTGAGTCCATGAATCTGCGAAGTTTTGCACGTTGTATGTTTCTCAGCCATGCACATTTGGAACATACCACATTTTATCCTGGGGGGGTGGGTGAATCACAGGCCAAAGACACCCTTTAGGGCAGCGTCAATTGTACTTCGTGGCCTGCGTTTTGCCACATGTTTCTTACGACACCTGGCTGCGCAAGCCAAATGGCCAGGTCATCTCGTCAGCACACGAAATACGCTTCTCAACACACTTGGACTTTGGTAGCGACTGATATTGTCACGGCGATGAAACCAACTCTTCAGGGACTTTTAAACAGTAAAACAGATGTCTCAACTGGTAGTTATGAACGTACAACGGGGTACCCCACATAGTTGTGGCCGGGGAACCGAAGCACCCGACCAAGGATACAGAATAGGCCACCGCAGTCCTGTAAATCACCTCTCACCCAACGAGAGCGCGACCGCGCGAAGAAGGCAGGCGATCCAGTATAGACAAAACGCAATGGCGGCAATGACGCAGTGACCTCGACCAAATCAAACAGTTCAGCACTGGTGCCCCACGCACCCCAAATAGTACCTAATCTTTCCAATTCATAGGGCGGTGCCAGTGAAGTGGTGTCTGGCGGTGTCCAGCAACTGTTGGCGCCACAACAACCTCCCTCTCAAGGAGAGCCTCCGCTCCCCCTCAGCAGGATGGCGACTCCAGATCCCATGGACGTCGACGGGCCTGCGAACGGATCTTCCAAAACCACCTACGAGCTGCCTTGGGTAAATGATTGCATGCTGTACGAGGGAAAGCGCCCGCCGGAACCGCGGTTCGGCGCAGTGCGCTAGCTAGCGACGGATTGAAGAAAGCAGTTGGGCAGCCAGAGGGAAGATGAGACTGATCGCAGTGTCGCGCACGACTTTTATCGTGCTTGACTGGCACATTTAGCTTTGGCTGGCTTTCCTGCGGTAACTCGCTGGCAGTCCAAGTACGCAATCGCAAATTCAGGGCTAGGAAACATCTCACATCCAAAGTCAAGTAGAAATGCATTTATGCGTGACAATGGAGCTCCTTTGTTGAGGCAAGCTGGCTATATGTGGTTTCATGGATTGTGTTGCTTTTGTCCCTTGGGCATTGGCCATGCTTGGATGGTGAAGGCGAGGGGGAAACTTTTCCCACATTCTGCTGACAGCTTGTGGTTATTACACCTTATTGCACCCTTCGTTTTGGCCTTATGTTCTGCTGCTCTGACGGCCTGAATTGTGATATGAAATCGACTTTCTCGAAGCATTGAGATGGGCGCTCCAAATGGTTGTGGAACTGATCAGCAAATCGTTGTGAATGTGTGCACATGTTTCCTGCACTCTTTTCATGTATCGTTGGGACTGAAATGGATATGATCCAAATTCATAGGACGAAGACACCCATGCAATGAGCCACTCTGCTTCACGCATTCGTAAGAAAAATTTCAACATTGTGCTTGAAATCTCTGTTGCTGAATGTGGAATATCATTTTGATAATCTTCCGGTGTTGCAAATCCTCAGGTTGAACAGCTCTCGTTTGAAAGATCCGTATGGAAATTTCAGCATACTTTTCTCTCCCATGAACACCAGATTTCTGAAACATTTTGGCATCAAACTTTCACACACACACAGTGGAGCTGGGATACAATGTGAGCATTACACACATTCCCTTTTGTACATTGATGGGGTTTTTGGCAGCCCCTTTGTGCAAACTTGCAAAACTCCATGCAGCAGGCAGCTTGGAACACCATGTTCTCTGTTGCTGGGCAGGGCAATGCCACACAAAAACTGCTGGCCTTTTTGTGCGTGGCACGGGAGCAGGTGATTGGGGATTGCCACGCAGTCGCCCGTGTTATGGTGCAAAACTCATTTGCCATGGGCACAATGAAATGCTTCAAATCCTTCCAGAGAGTGTGCACAACTAATTTTGTTGATTGTGGCAATCGCAGCATCTTTGTGCAATTTGTGAAGCTCAGGATGGAACTGTATTTGCAACAATAGCATATTCCAAAAATCATAAGATGGGTTGATATGGGACTGCAGCTCAAGCTGTTTTCCACCTTCAGCAAACATTTGGCTGCAGGCAATCAGCAATCTTTGACTTGCCACCTATGTGTTGCCGTTGTTGCCCCTGCAGCTGACGATCTTGAGGTTTTTGGCAGGTGGAGAAATTCAGGCCGAAACTTGTGAAGAACATCGTTGGGAATAAAGAAGCAGTGTCACGGCTTGAAGCGATTGCTGCGGAGGGAAACATGCCAAACCTCATATTGTCTGTGAGTCCATTGTTGACATCCTGCCCTGAATAGCTCGGCCAATAATGCAGCACCGTCACTCCATCGGCTTGTGTTTTGGATGTTGCTGTTGATGCCCTGCCAATCCTGATTTCATATCTGCTGAAGATTGTCCTGATAGGCATGTGGCCAAATGTGCATGGCCATCGGCTTAATTGCTCCCTTTCCATGTTGCTGTGTGCTGCATGTTGTCCTTGCTGCACCCTGAGACTCATGCATCTCCTTCCACAGAAGGAGACAATTCTTACCTACGCTTTTGCTGGTAAGGCAGACACCCAGCATGTGACATGGCTTCGTTCTGTTTGAGGGGTTAGTATATTTCCAAACACTCTCAAGTCCCAGTGGCCCGGTACTGCGCTTTATGCGCCATAATGGGCAGAATGTGTGCAAAGGTACACTGATGCTTGGGGCAAGGATGGAGACAAAATGTTTGTTTCTTGCAGGGTCCTCCTGGCACAGGGAAGACAACCAGTGTGCAGTGTCTTGCGCATGCCCTGCTGGGGAGCTCCTACAAGGAGTGCGTTCTGGAACTCAATGCATCTGACGACAGGTGTGAGCAGATTCATGCGCACCTGGCTGCCCTACTGTCACAGTGTGCCAGCAGAGCAATACAATTTGAGCAAAGAATTTTCAAATTTCTGGCATTTTATGAGCTGGAGGGAGTGAATCCTATTCATGGCAATCATCATCCTGGTACAAGGGCAATTGATTGACTTGTTTGATAAAAGCAGGCAGCAAATTGACAGCTTCTTGGTCTCAGACACGTGCAGACTGATCTGAGTGGGTGGTCTTTTTGTTCACAAGCCCTATAGCCCAACTTTTGCTCGCAAGCCACATCCCACACTCGCAAGCCCTTTAGCCCAACTTTTGCTCGCAAGCCATTTTTTGCTCACAAGCCACTTGAATGTCGAGAGCTATTGTCCCATTCACAGAGAATGTGAAATTCACAGGACCTTGGCCAGATTTTTGAATCGTTACCTTTCACCACAGCTCTTCCACATCCACCGCATGCCCTAGTCACATGCCTTAGCAGGTTTCATCAGCAGTGGCAGCGCAAGTTGAAAGAAGGCATTGTCTTGCTTCTGGGCTGGATGGACCATGACAAGAGGAATTGTCTGCGCTGTGGGTGCAAACACTTGTTTAAAGGAGCAGCAGCCATCCTCACTGTTTTAGTGGAGCAGCAGTGCTTTGTATTGCTGCAGCACAATGGTGCACCAAACTTCCTTCTGCAATGCAATTTTCTGCCATAGCTCTTGGTTTTCCTGTGTGTGCAGTGGTTCAATTGTGAAGCTCAGACAGTACGTGGAAGCAAGAACTTCTGTGTTGTATGTTTCAGAACACACATTGTGCTTCCCAACCATCACATCTGCATTGTTCCATCAAGACCCTTGCTATGTCAATTTGTACCAAACGAATTCGTACCAAATATCAGCAAATGTGCCAGTATGTTTGCCGTACATGCTGAGGAGTGGCTTGGAATTTGGTAACCAAGAAGATTGGTATGCACGACCCTTACTGGCACTTCCACCAAACTTGGCACAACTCAACAGCCTTTCACAGATTGCTGGCAGTTTCTGAAGATCTGGATGCACAGAATGACGGCGGTGTCTTGTGGATTGTGGAATGGTGGTCTTTTTTATATTCTGGAACTGACTTTTTCTGCTCTCTGTGTGGTGCCAGGGGAATTGATGTTGTCCGAAACAAGATAAAGATTTTTGCAAAGAAGAAGACAATTCTGCCACCGGGACGTCACAAGATTGTCATCTTGGATGAAGCAGACAGGCACGGTCACAGAACCCCGATGGTGGAAATTTTTTTTGGCATGTCCATGGCCTGTATTCCTGCAAGGGCTGCCTGTAACCTGTGCAAGCACCCAATCATGAGAATTCCATTGGCTGCCACAGCATGACCACCGGTGCCCAGCAAGCACTGAGAAGGACGATGGAGATTCATTCAAACACGACAAGATTTGCGCTCGCCTGCAACCAGTCTACGAAAGTCATTGAACCCATCCAAAGCCGTTGCGCCATCGTGCGATTCATGAAGCTGTCTGACATGGACATCCTGTCGCGGCTGATGGTTGTATGCAAGGAAGAAGGGGTGAGTGAATTCACCTGCTATGGGGTTCATCGTGTGGGATGTGCTGCATTCTCTTGCTTTTGATCAGAGCAAAGTGCCAGTATGTGATAGCGGATCGTGTGATGGTGGCAATATGTCCCATCTTGCTGTTGCGCATCTCTAAAACGTCCACAAGTGTCCATCCATGCTGTGAAGGTGCCAAACAACCCTGAAGGTCTGGAGGCGGTCATCTTCACTGCGGATGGGGACATGCGACAAGCTCTCAACAACTTGCAGGTTTGGCAGCCCTGTAGCAACAGGGGATGGTGTGTGGTGGAGGCAATGTGCCATTCCGTTTAAACTATCTCCTATGGGGACTCTCCATTAGCTTCCCCAATACTTGCTGTTGCCGTCCTGGCATACTTTTCTAGTTTTAAGTCGAGGTGCCTGGCTGCGTTGTAGTTGCTGGGCGCCACAGAGTCTGCAACTTGCAGATTATGCTTGCTGAGGTCTGTTTCAGCACTGAACCATGCCAGTGACTCTGTTACTGTTAAGTGGGCATTTGCTTCTGTTGGCCTTGTTGGCTGGGGGTACGAACATTTTGATAAATTGGCTGTGCCCTGATCGGCTAAATTAACCAGTAAAGAGAGTGGGACCTCGTTGGAAGATACTTGCACATGCCCTGCTGGCCACATGTTCTCACGCTGTTGGCACCAATGAGATGACGCCAGTCTTTGTTGCTGCCATTTTATTGTGGTTTTCTTTGTTGTGATACATCTTTCTGTTGTTCATGCCTGCAGGCAACACACTTTGGCTTCGGCTTTGTGAACCAGAAGAACGTTTTTCGAGTGTGCGACCAGCCGCACCCCACTATGGTGGTCCAAATCGTGAAGTGCTGTTTGGCAGCTGGTTTTGAAGACGCCCATGACGAGATGATGGTGAGATCTCCTTTGATGTTTTGCGATGGAAACAAGCGATGCCAGTGCTGCATGTCATTAGATGACTCCAGTGTTCACGTTGCTTTGTTCGCATTCGGTGAATGACACTGTTTTTCATGCTGGCTGAGCTAGAAAATTCAACAACAAGATATGTTGTGGTCACTGAGACGTACTGCTAAAATTAGTGGTTTATGGCAGTGCCAACATTGGCTGTTGGAGAGACTGCAATACTAAGCACCTGTGCACTCAACTGAACAGACCTGGTATTCCTTATATTCTGTGATGAGCAACAGAAAGACAGACATATTCCACATCAATATGGTCTTGAACACAAACACAACAGTTTGTGTACATGTGTGCGTGGCTCTGGTGGCTTTGAACAAGGCCAAAGGCTTATGTCCTGCTGTGCTTTATGCAATGCTTGACTGGATGTTGGCGATTTATCTTTGGTTGGTTTTATTCCTTTGAATCTAATTCTCTGACGTTGATCAAGCATTGCAAACACTTGTATGATGAAGGGCACTGTATGATGTCACTGTCTGTTGCCACAAATTGCTTGTATTGATAGTTGCCTTTGGAATGGTTGAAAGCTAGTGCTCTTTTGCGATCCGTGGTGATGTTGTGTCTGTACTAATCTGTTTTCAGAAGCTGTGCGACTTGGGATACTCGTCTGTGGATATCGTGTCGACATTGTTCCGCATCGTGCGCAACCACGACATGCACGAGTTTCTAAAACTTGAGTTCATAAGGGTAAGCGACCCTCTGAGTACAATGATTGGTATTGGCATCGGGCATGCACTTGTCCCATATGATTCTGCTCAATTGAATGTCGCGAGGTTCATTTGCTTGCAAACAATCAAGAGGGCAGTTCTTTGCTGTAACTGCCACGGTTTTGGCCAATTTTTGCGCTGCAATGGTGTCACCTAACCGCATGAAGCCACCTTGTCCGGGTATGAGACTAAAAACACTCAGGGGTTCGCTTTTTACGCATAGTCGTGTTCTTCCCATCTCTCTGCTCAGCATCTGAATGGGGTGAAATGGGCAAACCTTGAACAGAATGTGTGCATGAAGATATGCTTGCCATCGCCTGTTAGCTTGAACGGCAGTGCTTGGCTATTATTGGCAAATTTATCCTCTGCTTGCGAAACCTTCGCCTGTGAACTGTGCTATAGCCGCTTGTGAAAGACGCTTACTCATCGTTCACATGCCCGTCGTCATACTTAACCTCGACAACCCTCGTGGCCCAGTCTGTTTTCTGAGACCGCCTGCTTTGTGAAATTGGCAGGAAGTGGGCTTCTGCCACATGAGGGTATTGGACGGCTGCAGCTCACGGCTGCAGTTATCAGGACTTCTTGCCAAGTTGTGCGCGATCGCGCTGGAGGCCTCAAAATAAATTGCCCTCTTGGTCAGGATGTTGGATTAGGGGTAGGTGCAGGCTGGCTTCTTGTCGTTGTAACGCTACAGGCAATGTGCACGCTGCGTGTAGCTTCAGTTTTGTAATTTCAACAGACTCGCTAACTTTCTGGAGTTGCTCGCGCCTGACCGCACAAATGGGGCGCCCTCGCACCCAACATTGCCTGCTCATGCCGTGTAACCTTTTGTACTTTCTTGGAGACTCCAGTCGGAGGAATGGGCAGTGATGACAGCAGTCGATCCCTCTCAAGCCGTGACTGCAGGGCTTTCGTATTCAGGTGCGTTTCTTCATTTCGTGCGTTCGTGTGCTGACGCCTCCTCTCCGTCGTCACCAACCTCGATTTCGTCACTTCGCCAATAGCCGTGCAGCGGCTGCGCAGCATGAAAGCCCACAGAAATGGTGGCGCACTGTTCGTCGCAGAATCTGATCAACTGCAGAGAAATGTTCTGGTACTACTAGTTGCAACAAAATGCACCGCCCCTAGTCGCATGAAATTGTCCCCTGAATGTGGCAGCAGGACAGCGCAACCCAGTACATTCCAAGCCGAGTGTGCCGACTCCTCTTGCATGCACGCACAATCATCGTAGCGCTTTGCGAACACTGGTGGCGCGGCCAAACGCAGTGGAAACGATCCATGATGCTGATCTCACGGAGTACAATGCGCATTTTGTAAAGGGACTTCCTCAAAATGTAAAGGTGCCAGATTGGAGGGCACTAGACAGCCGAGACGGCGTCATGCAATCGATGACCATTGCACGGGCACGAGCCCTGAGTTCCTGCTCACAATGCAATATCCCTTTTCGCACTGCACAGTCTGACAGTGGGGTACTGTCGCTCTTGAGCACTGAACAACAACCGGTAAACAAGTCCGTTACGCATTGCATGGTGTGTGTAACCCCTCCCCATCGAACTGGGGATGGCATCCACTCATTGCAGCGTCCAGCACAAGCGCTACGTGCTGACGTGTGCGAACGCGCTCAGGCGCATAAATGCTGACGCGGGGAAACGACCCCCAGAATTGTGCACTTGCAGTGATTGGAAACCGTGATTGACACTGCTTTGCTCGGGCAACATAGGGAGCAGACGGCTAGCCCCTTGCCCTGCTATGTAAAAAATGCACGATGTTTGACAAAACGAACGCCACAATGCATTCAACAAATCTCGTGGAACGGAGAAATTGTCTTCACTGCAGTAATAGAGCGTCATTATTACTGTATTCCACGGCGCAAGGGCATTGCACGATATTATTCCAATGTGAAGGCAAACAGCTGGCAAGCGACGGGGCACGGTGAGGAGGTGCTCCCATTGGCTCCAGCGCAAGATGGCCGTGCCCTCGCCCCTGCCTGCCTCCCCCCACCCGGCGGTCTCTCCGCCGGACACGGCACCCCCGTCGTCCGCCCCTGACCCCAAAGCGCAGCAACTGCACCCTCGCAAGCTGCTGGAGGCGGTCCAGGAGGCGCACGCGTCCTTCAACCCCGGCCGGCTGACTTTGGACTCGCACGCGGACGAGTGCGTGGCGGCGCTGAGGCTGCCGTCCGCGCAAGACGAGACCTTCCTGAGGCAGGTCCTGTACGGCCTCGTTCGGTACCGGAGGCTGCTGAACGCCTTCGTGAATTCCTTCTATCACAACAAAAGGTGCGAAAGGTTTTCGAGCCTTGCCTCCCAACCCGTTGCTCCTGGTGTTTTCAGTCGGTCCACTGTGGTCTTGCGCCGCAGCGGCACACCCCTGGGCCTGCGGTTGTGGGCCGCCCTGGGCGTCAAAACGCAATTGTGACACCGCCGTAAAAGTATGGTCCTTGTTCTAATCCCGCCGAATTCCCGCCGAACAACTGTGCCCGCTTCTATATTCCAATACTGTATATTTGTATTTGATGTTTATGTTTTCGCCCCTTGCCAACAGCGTCAAAGGGTGGCAGAGCAGTTCGTATTGAAGTCCATGTCGTGCTGACACCAAAGCATTATGCGGTTTTTTCCGGTTGTGCCTCATTTAAAGGATTTCGAACGCCGCTAGCTGCAACGTCTCAACTCCAAGTCTCCCACTGAAAACGTGGCGCACCACAGTCAATTAAGACATATTACTCATCAAGGTGAGGTGGCGGCCATCAGCTCCTGATGGTCCACCTCTCCGGCACGCGGAATGTGGTTTTTCCTCAGCGAAGTTCGCTGACTGTTGCACTAGCGTGGGCTGACCCAACCCTGGTCGAAGCCGTAATGGCACCGTTATGATTAAATGCCCTTACGCTTACCGCCAGAAACGCCCAACATGCTTCCAGTAGCGACACAGTGACAGCAATGCCCTGTGCGACGCTGCGCCGGAGCTTGTGCAGGCCAGTATCGACACCCACTGCTGACGTCCTCGTTCTGTGCGCAGCGGAGAGGTTCTGAGGGGAGATGTTTGCATCTACAAAATCTACGCCTATCTGGCGATCTTCAGGCTGGAGGAGATCACCTTCCCCGAGTTCAGGTGATTCTAAACATTTTATGCTTCAGTTCCCGCTTGCCAACTGTTGAGGACACTTCTTTTGCCGCATTCGCATCGACTGTGGCTTCTTGGCATTGGCAATTAATAGACTCTTTGACATTGTTTGTGTTAACATTAGATTTCAATGAACAGACCATAGACACTGATTTGCTGGGGCAAAATAGGAAGCTGGCGGCTACCTCATTGCCTTGTTCTGCAAAAATGAAAATGGTGATGATGATGATTCTTGTTCGCAACCAAACGAAGAGAATAGTTGGGATATTGAGTTCCAAGAGACGATGATTCGATGCCCGCCCTGGTCGAAATTGCGGAACATTGCACAATGGCGGATACCTAGACTCGTTGAGGTGCAATTTTCTCGCATTAATATAGGCTGAAGTGTTGAAATGCGCATGACGCCATCCTTGCCGTATGGGATCCGGTGCAAGTAGGGGACGTGCACTTCAAGCAAGTACACCGTCGCTGTATGCATCTCGGATTGTGCTGTTCTATGTTTGATAGAGCAAGGTGCAGCTGGGAGAATATCACAAAAAATTTTGGGGCCTCGGCGTGCTTGTTCCACTGCTTCCTTTCGCAAGCAATGCAGAAACCAAGGATGTGTCCAGATGTAATGCACACTTTTCAATCGGTTGTCTTTGGATACGAATGTGACAGCAGTTGATTACATTACGTTGTATATCAAACTTGTTGTGCACAGAACTTGGCATTGATGCTATGAGGAGTTGTTGAAAGAAAACTGCTGGACAGGAGATTGGTCGCTGCTACAGACCCCCATAAAATGGCCGTCTTCCTCACCTACCTTTTTGATGAGGGCAATCTGAAAGAATTCTGCAGACACGATTGGCTCAAGATTTATGATAAGCCAGTGAGTTCCACGTCATGCTTCAAGCGCCTCTTTTCATGGGGTGCCATGGAGCACCAGTCTTGCCATTTCTGAGTGTGCAAGCCAACCAGATTCTGTCACTGCATTCCTTTTAGTTGCTACCTCACATCTGTTTCAAGGCTTCTCTTGCATGTTCTCACATCTCTTAATGTGTTGTATGTAGCGAAAATAGTGATACCTGAGTTGATGGCTCTTTGCTGCAGTTCGTTGATGGAACGATAAACAATCTGCTTAAATGGCTACCTCAAGTCACAAAACTTGTGGAGGAGCTGTCATCAATAGTTTACGCACCAAAAAAGGTGAGTAACACGGAGGAACAGGGGAAATAATCAGCGCCCAACACATGGCTAAGGGGATGTTGTGCACACCGAAATAAGTTGAAGATTTGATGCAGCAGCATCCATGTCTGGACCACACGGAGTTTACTGTCAACGGATTATCACCACTCAGAGCAGTTTTTTCCAATATGTTGATCGGCATTGCAACATCGAATATTGTGGTACTCTTATAGTGTTTTTAAGCATTGCACAGACGGAACAGCATGAATTTTTGTGCTACTTCCCAACGGGCACTTGCTCAATTGCCCCATGGGACATGCCACATCTGCTATGATGCACTGCTTCCACAATGCTGGATGAGAACTTTGCGCAAGCTTTCCTGCGAACAGACAAAGGGTGTCGTGGGCGATGCGGTGGCCCCAAAGAAGAGCACAGTGCCGCGACCTTTCAGTCTCTCCCAATCGAAGACAAAGCCCTTGCCGTCGGCAGAACCTCCACCAAGTCCCTTGAAAGCTGCGCCTCCACCTAAGCGGCGTGAAGGCCCGACAAAAGAAGAAAGGGCTATCGGTGAGACTGTTGGCATGGCCTATCTACTGTTACGTTGTTGTTCTTGTTGTCCTCTGATATCGCTACATAGTATTGCTAGCAGATCTTCAAACATTATTTGCAAGACGCAATAATCTCCTGACTGAAGCGACCGGTGTGCCTAGCATGTTCATTGTTGCATTCGCCTTGGCATGTGAAGATCGTCCGGTCTCGGTTGCTTGGGTATGTCATATCGTGGACATCATCTTGAGTCAGATCCCTTGCTGTTATGGAGCACTGTGAGGCAGCTTTTTGGTAGTCGTTCAGCACCTGGGATCACTGTTGTACCTTTCTGGACAAAATTTGTATCTTGTGTGCTCACTGTCCTTTTGGTCTGCATGTTCAGCACTGCAACAGCTGGAACGCAAGGCAATATGTGCTGAGCACAGGCTCGAGGCACTGTGCTATGCACATTGCAGATATTGAACTGTGTACACTCGCATTTTGGTTTCCAGGTTTTGGCCTGTAAATCATCAATCAACACCAAACTACTGCAGTCTGCTGATAAAATATTCTGACCCACACTATATTGTTATGAAACTCACAAGGATTGGATTGCAACAGAGCAACAAAAAATACCAAAACTCGTAAAATGAATTGATGAATTTTCAATTTGCATGTTTCCATGCGCAGAAAGCTTTTTTGCAGCACCATGGTAGCCCCATGGTTGTAGAAATGTCTTCCAGAGGAAGCTACGACTACTAATACGGGTTGTATTCTGCAATTCCAGAGGCTGCTCGTGCTACCAATCGCAAGGAACAGCAATGCAAATATTCAGATCCTTCAAAGCAGCCTTTTGTGCTCAAAGTCCTTGAAAGGCCAACAAATATTGAGAAAGTACGGAAAGAGGTGGAAGAAGATCAGACTAGGGAACTCCTTGTTGGATGCCCGAAACCCAAGCCAGCTCCCCTGCCTCCTGTTGCTGAGGTGAATGTATCGAATTGTCTGCAAGAGTCTAAGGTTTAAGCACATTCTTACACCTGTCATTGGTCTTGATTGCCTTGACGGTGACACCACACACAACACTGCGCCAAATTGCGGGATCTGGACATCACCCCACGGCGGCTGCTGTACCAGAATGATGCCACCCAATCAAGCTGTTCAATCCACTGCGACGTTAATATATGCCCTCGGCCATGTGGTTTCCTGGAAATGGATCTGCAATGCAACCCCTCATGATGTTGCCGATCTCATGCCACGAGTTACACAGCATCTGTACACTTTCTCCATTGCACAGAGACCAATTTTCATGCTACCTGTCAGGGAAGGTTGCGCCTTTGGCAGAATGGAAAGATTTGCGCAGAGATACATGAGATCCAATGGCATAAGAGGGTGATGCAGAAGTCTAAAAGCGCAATGGAAAACGAAGCCAACACAATATAACAGATGTGGCAGGAAAACGTGCCCAGAGGGGCCAACTGAGCGGAGGTATGAATTTGTAGGTGAGGCTGAATGCGGCTGCCATCCTCCGCGAAGATGCCTTCTACCGACGAAAGCAGGGCGAAGAGGCAGAGTCGCTGCAGCGGTACGAGCAGGAGCTCAGGGACTCTTCTGAGTTCGAAGAATGGAAGACGAAAATGCTGGAAAAGGATAATTCAGACAGAATGGCGGAGGTGGAGAGGCGCAAATCTGAAATGGCTGCCTCTCAAGAGGCCGCAATAAAGGCAAAGCAGCACATGGTGAGTGCTTTTGCTCTGTTTGTGGAACGCTGCTATTGTTCATGTTGGCGATCGCTATTGTGACCTTTTCATGGCAACTGAATAGACTCTGCGTCGGAATATTTGAAGCGACGCGTTGCTGGAAAATGTCATGCAGGGTTGACGGGGCTGGTAGTTGAGCACCTGTCGCAAGAGCAGAACATTAGAGAGGCCCACATACCCTGCTGAATACAAGTCGCTGCTTCTTTTGGTTGCCTCCCACGTCATCTTCGCTCCGACCGGAAGCTGCTTACTGTATTTATCGAACAGAACACTGTAATGAAATCAGGGCGTGCATGCTTGCAGGCACCAGGGGCGTTTTCCCAAGAATGTGCTTCCAGGGTATTGTTTGTTTGAGGTCTTCAGGATCTTGCTTCTATTCTTGCATAGTGAAGCATGGTGCAGCGCAGCTTGACATTTTTGCATGGAATAGTCCTAATTGGTCATTATGGCATAACCTGCTCGTCATGATCAGGAGAAGCGCACCCACCCAGGGGCCAACAGTTATGAGTACATTTACCAGGGAACGCACTTGTGCGCTTGTTTGAATGCCGTTTGCACGTTCTGTTCGTTCATCTGCTACGTGTGATGGTTGTCACGGCGATCCTCCTCACTTTCATTTCCGACATGTGTTCCTGAGATTGAAAACAACTTGCATCAAGGTCGTCG